TTATTGCTCATCTTGGGTAACTTTCTGAATGCTTGAATGAACGCATTCTGAAATAATTCGTTTACAAACAGCCACACTTGAGGGACTTGTCATTCTTTATCACTTGTGTGGGGAGAGGGCGGGGGTGAGGGGCTTTGCCGGAGTCACGATAAAATTTACCTGATACCCCTCCATGCGGTTCTCTACATATTTTATGATCCCCACCCCTACGCTCTCATTTCCAGTTCATCGATATTCAATTCTCTATAGTCTTCTTCCGTCATGCTCTACTGGCAAAGACTGATTCCCCTCTGTCCCTCCCTGAGAAACCTTGTGATCCTCCAAAATTATTTACCTACCAGGCTGTATATAATGACAAGTCCCTCAGTTAATGTTACTTCTTCTTCTTCATTTTTAATTTATTATTATTATATCATTATTATTATTATTATTATTATTATTATTTGTGACCAATCACAACACGCTTACTATCTGATATCACTAAAGTGAAATGCAGATAAATCATGGTTAACATCTTTGACAAGACGACTAGAGCAATTGATAACTTTCTGAACCAGCATCGATTTAGTCTGTGCTGCAGTAGCGGAGGGAACATGTGGGTGTGCCAGTTATGTAGTAAACATAGTAATCGCCGCAGTTTGTCACTTTGACGGAATTTGACCAGTTGCAGCAGTCTGATCCCCAGTGGAAGCAAACTGTCCTGGTGACCTGACCATCAGCCACCGTGGGATGAGTACCATTTAGCCAGCCGGAAGCGTGAGTGTTGCATCGGTGTTTTGGTGGACATGAAGTAGGCATTCTTGTACCTGCTGCTCCTTCAAAACGATACCGACCATGAATACCTCTGTCACAAACCGTGTTTTGATTGCCATAGGTTATCTTTCTGTCTCCCCCGGTCAGACTTTGATAGTTTTGACACTCTAACATGGACAGAGTAGAAATGGTTGACGTAAGTCCAAAAATCAAAACAAACCAGGCAAAACCCTTGGTATTTGATTTAAATAAACTATATGACTTTTGCGCTATTTACTAGAGTAGTTAAGAGGTTAAAATCTCCTGGTGTAGTGATCTTAACGTTTTCGACTCCGGGGAAAAAACATTATCCAGCCATCATGACCAAACAAACGAAGTCAGTCACAAACAGTTTAACGGCCGAATAATCACATCGAAGAGTTACAACATGGATTCAATTCAAGTAGTCATGTTTTTCCTTCTTTTGACTTTCTTCGTTTATTGTTAAAAGCCATAATTTCCTCTGGAATTAAGGCGGAAGATCTTCCGCACAGGCATCCGTCTCAAACATCCCTTTGCGGTAGTGTTTGTTGCATGATTACTTTTTTAATCATCAGCTATCCTCTTCCTGTTGTTCATGAGTAGCTGACACCTGGGTCAATAGTGCTCTTCGCGCGCGCTGGTTGGCTGGTTCGAGAGTGATTAGCTAGTTCTATTCACTTTTTCTAATATTCGCTATATTGTCTGACATTGAAGAAATGTAAAATGGTTTCCGTGTTTACATAGCCTGATGTAAACACGCGGGAGGTTGGGAGAACACGAGATAAGCGTAGGAAACCACCACGCGAAGCGGAGTGGTTTCCAGCTTATCGAGAGTTCTCCCAACCTCCCAAGTGTTTACATCAGGCTATGTAAACACGGAAACCATTTAACATTTCTTTTATAAAATAACTAATGAAAGAGGAACGAAAACCGTGTTTACATACGCTCATGTAAAATGGTTTTATGGCCAATCAGAGCACGCGTAGTATTTGAATTATTTTATAATCAAACATTCTTCATTCACTGTCGGTTAACGTGGTGGATATTTACCTCGGCGCTTGACGGCTTGGTAAATATCCACCACTACTCTCCTCCACTTAAGTGGGTTGTTGTTAATTATTTTCGATTTTCGATTTTCATGACGTCACATGAAATCCAAAGATATGACGTATTAAAAATCCTTGAGCGCGAAAAAGAAGCAAAATAAATGAGTTGTCAGTTGCTTGATTACTGTCTGAGTAATAAGTTTGTTACCCCCCTGTTGTTTGTATCTACTTCAAGCCGGATGCCTGCGTGAAAGCATAGTTATCAGAACAGCAACTTTGGAAGACCTGACTCGACTTTGTACCTGATGGGAGAGGAATGCAAGATCTTCCATCCCCTATGTAGGGCTGGTTACATGAGCACTTGAATGATCCTACAGTGTTTGTACATGAAGCTGAAATGTGGCAATTGTGAACACCGCTGGCACATTCATCAATATCTGTTGAAATAAATTAGCAGGTTGATACAAATAACCCATACAATGTAGGACAGGAATAATAAGTACCGCGCTAGATATGTTGTAGGCCACATACATGAGTCGATTTTATACTTTCTATCTCGTGAATTGCACGCATGCGCAAGAGCGAGTTGTAGATATGATATGGAGAATGGCACTCGCTCGCTCGCTCGCTTGATTGGTCAATTCCTGTAAACTTTTTTTGGATTTTAGGCTTTTGATTGCATTTGATAGTTTTTGGCGAGTAATAAACAAACGAAATGGCGACCTTTGTTGCTAAGAATAGTGGTGGGGTGAAAAAGAAGCCAACGATAATCCTAAAAAGGTTTATTTTTTTTCGTTTCAGTTTCAACAAGCGACGCCAGCGACTGGCAGGCGTGCGAGGATTCACACTGAAATAAGACAACACCCTTGGTTTTTCATAAAATTGCAATTCACTATCCTTGAACTTGGAAACAATACGAAAATTCATTAAAAATATAACTTACTCCGAAGCGCTCGGAGTTTACAGGTGTTCAAAAGCTTTTTTTGTTATGGCGTGAGACTGGGGACAAAATCGATCAATTTCGTATCGTGTGTTTTTTCTGTGTGAAGCAACAGAAAGGGCCGGCGACTGACGAAATTACAGGTTAACACAAAAAACCAAATAACACCTAAACAACTAATTTTGGCTACCGATTTTCAGTGAACTTTTAAAGAACAATTTTCTTTTAAGTTTCAAGACAATTTGAAGATTCAAAATAAATATTACGTACTAAAATGCGGAAGTTATATACCACAAGATTGATAAATAGGCCTGAAATGAAATTCTATCTTGTTCTTGATTATACGCTGCCTAGCACGTGACCAAAATCTACCCAGGCGGAAATCCGAAACGACGGTGGCAGTCTGGGCATAGTTACATCACTCAAAACTCGTTCCCGTTTGTCTCATTGATAAGGAGGGAATCATCAATGTTTTCATTAAGACAGTATTGCCTTGATTTTCCAATATTTACAATGATAGACAGTAACTTTCACTTTTCACCCACATTTACTTCCAATCTTTGCTTCTGAACCAGAAACAAAATTGATATATGTTTAAAACACACGACATCATCAACCCTTGTCAAATTTAATAGCACGATCATTTCAATTGTAATGCCTTCTTATCCCAACGTTGCTTTGTTTCTTTGCTACATTAGCGAACTCTGAACTATTGCTCGTACTCTAAATATGACAATCAACCACAAAATTCCCTAAACCAGATAACATTAAACATAATTCACATCACAAACGCTAACAGAAATATCACATTCGCTTGCAAATGTATATGCAAATCGTTTAGAGCGACAATATACATTGATCATGAAGCACAGCTTTAAGCAAATTATTGTTCAGATCCTCTTTAGTTAAGTTATTCACCATTAAAAAAAAGGCCTAGAGTGTGAGTGTCAAACAGCTTTATCGAGCAGGCTCTCCAAGAGTTTCTATGTTTATCATTCCAAATTTAAATTTAAATAAAGAATAAGTTGTTGACGCAAAGTAATTTCAAATCTAATGAAGTAATAGTCGAAGAAAGCTCAGAGAAATAACACCTTGTAACGACATTGCTTTATGAGAGCTGTGCGTTTTCTGCTAAAAATTTCTTCTCACCTTTGCAGGTATGTCCATCTCCAGAAAAACCGGCTCTGCAAGAGCAGCGATACGATCCCAGAGTGTTTTTGCAGTCAGCGTTTACATCACAAACACTAACGGAGGTATTACATTCGTCAGCATCTGTTAATGAATATCCAAATCGTTTAGAGCGACAATATACAATGATCATGAAGCACAATTTTCAGCAAATTGATGTTCAGATCCTCTTTTATCAAGTTAGTCACTTTTTAAAAAAAAATCAAGGAGTGTGTGTTTCAAACAGCTTTATCGAGCAGGCTCTCCAAGAGTTTCTATGTTTATCATTCCAATAACATATTGAGTCGTTGCTTGGTGCTGGGAATTAAAGCGAGGCATAAACAACGAGTTCACGTTACTTAGTAGGATGCAAACGAGTCAAGATTTATCAAATCCTACTTTAAAAAAATAGATTCCTATGAATATGCAATTCTTGCTGTCATCTATTGTCGTAAGGTATGAAATATATAAACAAGATGAAAGTTAGGATTGAAAAAAAATCCGCCGCCATGTTTCGAAATGTACGGGCGCCTATTCATGGGTTATGCGACTTAAGTTGATAAGGGCTGACAAAAAAATTCTTTGCTGCTTCATAACTGGTTTCCGAGGAAAAAATCTTATACGATTAAGAAAAATTCTAAATTTCCTTTGACATAGTAAGAATCTTTTCCAAGTGTTCCCTTCAACAAATGATCAGACTTACGACCAACAACAAAAAAGGATTGCACCTGACAGAAAAGCTGACCATTAGCTTTTATGCAAGGCACAATACTTTTTAGTGCATATCCATCCTGTTTAGCTGTCTTACTCTACCTTCGGTTTTCATGTCACAATGAGCCAACACAGGAGTGTCAGGTTTGATGAAATTCAGCCAGTACTTTCCGCTGACCGCTTGTCCACCTTCACTGGCCTTGATTTCCTTGCACGAGTCTGCAGGCAGTTCGGGAATGGCACCGAGAATAGCTAGAATAGAAAATAAGAACACGAGAAAGTGAAGAAAAAAGGCCATATCTCCCTCTCTATAGCAGTTAGCCGAATCATTTTGCCTTGATGCTCACCTCTCTTCCTATATCGTCTGAAGTAATATCTCTCAGAGTTGGGTACAAAATCTTCAGGCCTGGCTTCCTTTGTGCGGTTACTCAATTCACACTTTTCTCGGGTGAACACATAGTTAAAGCTTTGGCATCTGACGTCACGATAACATTCCCGCAAACACACATCACCGAGTGCTGCTCCAGTGATTGTTTTAAAAATGTGTTTTTGAAGCATCTTACCAAAGATGGAGACTTCCCTTGTATCACAGTGGTACTGAGCAACAACTGAATGAAACAATACCAACATGAAGAGGAAAACTGGTAAATGAAAGAACTCTTGGACTCCCATTGTAGTTATATAATCTCACCTGAAATGAAATCATAAAGTTTGAGAGCACAATAAGAGGATATCCACAGAAAAGCAGGAAATACGATAACTGCAGAGGCACTTATTGTTCGGCTGTTTTCCAAGCAGTATGACATATCGCAAACACACATGCCGAGCGATATGTCATGCATCCGACAAATAAGCTTGGTGTGAAAAAGCAAGCGTGAGATACGGCAAGAGTCGATAAGACACGGGTACTATAAAAGTCCCATTGCACGTTTGTCTATGGGTTAATCAAAAGTTTTACTTATTTTCTTCCAATACGAAGTTTTCAAAGCTTTTTGAATGCAATTCCTCAAAGGCAGAAGTAGTTTGTACTAAGTACAGCGAACGGTCGTCGTCCCGATACATGCAAAAAAAAAAAACCGACATCTAAATACTAAGTAACATACTCCTCTAAGACTCATTCTCTAACGTATTAGCCACTCTTTCTCCTGATCCAAGCATTCACGCTATACTTTTAAAATAGCACACAGTTCACCGCCCCTGACAACGCGTATTAAAAATTTCCCAAAATGATATCTTTGGTTTAGCTCTATCCTATCATGATGATAATAGAACCATAAGGTACTTCTACTATGCTATGCTACTTACTGAGTGAGTATCGCAGTCTTCCTTCACTTTTCAAAATCGACAAAGAGATCTTTGGAAACAAATTGACTTTAAATTAAACTTGACTTGTATTGAAAGAGGAACTTTACAGACCCCAACATGCTTAAATGATGAAACTATGAAACACAATGCTCTTTTTGAAACTTCTTTTAATACCACCTGCAGACTTTCTTTGAGAACATTTTGCCTGAGATCCTCGCAGAATTTCCGTTTTCTTGGAAATTCAAAATACGATATCATTGTCATAATGTAAGTCTTCGTTTTATCTAAAATAAAAACATATTTTCAGAATTCTTTGGCTTTTCAAAACTCATTTCTTATTATCGTTCGTTTGACACAGCTATAACATTGTTCTTGTTAGGAATAGGGCAGAACTGTGAATGTGTTTTTCGCTAGGTCATGACATTAAGGCTGAACGCATTTTGGTCCTTACGTCATGAACGAAAGCTAAATAATTTCCCGTCCAATCCGATCTAAAAAGCATTTTATAGTATGATTGCTGCTCTTTCTCTTGATTCCTCATACTTGTTTATGCGCTATTGACCTCCTATATTCATTTTTATATCAAAATGTGAGACCTCAGATAATTTTTCTGTCTCTAAATTTGGATCTGTTTTTTTCACTTTGACAAGAGGCAATTCTTTGTAATCACTTTTCTTGAGAGTTCTGTCTTTATCTTTTAGATTTTTTTCTTGCTGTTCAGTGCAGTCACTGCTGAGACCTAAAAACCATGGCTGATCTTAGAAAGGAGCGAGTTTAAGAGATAATTAAAGTTTTTATCATTATAGTCCAACATTATCAAACCAGCGGATGCCGGTGAAGCTTATTAGCATAATAATTAGTCGAAATAATTAGACTTGAAATTTTGAGAGCTCAGTGATACAAATATGTGGCCGTTTACAGAAAAACAGGGAATACGATAACTGCAGAGCCACTTAATGTTTGGCTTTGTTCCAAGCAGTATGACATATCGCGCACACGTATGAAGAGCGATGTGACACGCAAACGAGAAATTTAAAGCTTGATGTGAAAAGGCGTGCATGAGATATGACACCGGTGAATAAGACACGGAAAGCTCCATTAATGCATTTCCTCAATGGTAGAAAGAGTTTTTACTTACTACAAAGAACGGTCGTCTTCCCAACGCATGCAAACTGGAAACAGACATTTAGATAATAAAGTAACTGAATTCTTTAAGACTCATTCCCTAACGTATTAGAAGCTCTTTTTCCTGATCCAAACATTCACGCTATACTTTAAAATAGCACACAGTTCGCCGCCCCTGACAACGCTTATGAAAATTTCCCAAAATAGTTTTGCTCTATCCTATTATAATGATAACAAACCATAAGGTAGTTCTACTATGCTGAATCTGCCTAAGTGAGTATCGCAGTCTTTCTTTCCCTCAAAGGATCGAAAAACTGATCGTTGGGAGAGAAATAACTTTGAAATTAAGCCTGCGTTGAAACTGGAACTTTATACAGGCCAGAACGTGTGCAAGTGGTGTCACTTGGTAACAGGATGCTTTATCTCAAAAGTTCTAATGCCACCAGCAGACTTTCTTAGACCTATTTTGGCCGAAAGTCTAAATGTGATATCGTCGTTATAATGTAAATAAACGGCAGCGAAACTCTTAGCTCTATATTCTGAGAAAATATCTCGGAAAAAGTCGGACTTTCAAAACTCGTTTCTTTTCATCTTTCACTATAATACAGCTATGAAAGTTTTCTTTTTGACCGTAAAGGAGGGTAAATTTTGGTACCCAGGTCACTATTTAGAGACCATGAGTAGGTAGATCCTTGTCGCATAATCGACAGAAAAATGAGAATTCAGTTCGGCTCGAACTCATTCAGCCAAAAAGTCCTCTAAGCATTTTACTAAATGAATGCAATTCTTTATCTTTGTTCCTTATTATTGCATTTTGCACAAACCGATGAAGATCATTGTCAGATGTATTGGTAATTACTTGGGTGATTAGGGTTGGTAATTTTTATGAACTAGTCTATCAAAATGTAAGACAGATAGCGCAATCTGAAAACTTGGATTCGATTTTCACTTTGACAAAACGCACGCGCGATTTTTTTGCAATCACATTTTTGAGAGTTTTGTCGTAAATCTTTTGGTTTTTTTTTTCTTACTCTTAAGTGCAAACACTGATGGAACCTAAAAATCATGGCTCGTGACAAAACGTAGCGTGCTCAAGAGTAAAGTCAAGTGTGAGCTAGTGTATAGTCCAAAATTATCAAACTAGCGGGTGCAACACTTCTCTCAAAAGCGTATGAATAATTTAACAAAAGGAGGTTCTGACATCAGCGAGTCATGTTTTGAAAGAGAAATCGCGTATGAGAGCTTCACTTTTTCATGATAGAGCCGTGAGTTAAAGTCTGTAGTTCATTAATACATTGCTAAACTGGCTTCTTTAGAATATCCCTTGAAATAATTTGACTTGGCCTCCTGAAGAAAGCCTCCTTGGTCAGCTGCATAACAAAGGACAAACTAATTTAAAACCATCCAAGATGAAGCCATAGGCTCAACTTCTCATAGTCTTCTTGTGATACATATTAAATAAAATTAATCTTTTAGAAAGAACTTTTGTACTTACCCAAGACCGTTCCCCGTAACTGGCAACTTCAGGTCATCATCGTTTTTTCCGTTGTGTGAGTCGAGTTTCTGTCAGCTGAATTAAACGCAAACTTCTGGCTAATTTTTTTAGTTGATTACACTAAATTATACTGTCATGCAAATTATTGACGTCTGGTCTCTCCGCCAAAATTAAGTCGCAGTATGAATTTTTAGTAAAGTAAAACAGACACAGCAGGTATTTTCTTCAATGCATATTAAATAACTACTTTTTGATCAACACCAGAGAATCCTCTATGTGAGACTAAGTGGATCAAAGTTTTGCAGAAAGTGGAAAAAATAATAAATTTGCATATAATTAAAATCTTTTTTTTCCACGATGGGGTAGCTTTGGATCGCGACGTCTCGATCGATAGCATCTGACCGCATGGTTTTTCCGCACGGTCAAAGAGCACAACTGCAGGCGTATCCATTCGACCTTATCACCTGAAGAAGGATTGTAGCATACGCATTCGATTCACATCGTATACAACTGTGTTCATCACGATTAATAACTGCAACTTATATACAACCATAATAATTTGTTTCGTTTAATTAAACGCGCGCATAATAGTTCACAACAATTTTCCGATTAGCTGTTTCCTCCTACAGGGATGGTTCAATAGCTGATAGCTAATAACAATGTTTTTGTTATCAACCACCCGCTTCAGACTACCCCGTGGGTTTTTCGCGATGTGTTAAGGAAATATTCTAGACTAAAGGAGAGCATATAAATTGTGATAAGTATCGAGGAAGTTCAAATATCTTGTCAGAAAGAAAATCTAAAAACTACGCCATCGATGTTTATTTCCTGTCGTTTTTTAAATGTAAACGTAGCGGTTTTCCCTATTGCAGTCTGGTACTTGGGTTTTTTTTGCGTTTTTCTGAGACCAACGATTCCAAATTTGAATTTTGGATGAACCCGAAGAAATTTTGGAGCGGAAATGCGACACACTGCTGAGGTTTCTCTCCGTTTATCCGTACTATTATAAAGTACATAGTTTCAACTAGTCAGAGCACATGTTTCATCTAAACTTTGAGCAACAAAAAGACTTTTTCCGTATTTACCTAGCCTTATCTAAATACAAAGTCGGCTGGCGAACCCATGACAAATCTCCCATCCCTCCCCCCCTAATCAAATTATGGCTGAAAAGTCTAGGAAATAAAATTTTCTAACAGTGTTTACATACTCCCACCCAAACAAACCAATCAACCTGATTAATGGGGAAAAAATGATAAAAAAGTGTTTTTAACGACCGATAACGGCCAAGCCGAGTATGTGGTTTATTACGTCCGCTGGTCGTAATCCAGTATCACCTGAATATACTTAGCCCCTCCGCGTCCGAGCGATAGCCTATCGCCAATCGCTCTGACGAAGGGCTGACGCTCGAAACGTTAGCTTTGCTACTCTTTTGTGGTGGCCAATTTACGTTACTAAATTATAAACTGGCGCGGAGCAGTTTCAATAATTGAAAATAGATTTTCACCCACGAAGAGAATGAAATATGGCGCCATATTTTTTGAAGCTCTCCTCCTCCCTCCCCCCCGCCCCCCCCGAGTGGGGAAAAGTTTTTGTGTGGTGGAAAAATGAGCTACATTTGTTTAGTGTAAAGTATTATTTTATCGTCAAAGGCTTCGCTTCAACCGTGGTCAAGGCTTTGGGTATGTCTTCAACGGCCCTTTGAAACGGTCTCCATAACAGGCGCTCCGTGAAATTCCCTGCAGCTTTCATGAAGTCTTCAGTGAACGAGAGGTTACTTTCCCACTGGCGGGCGCCTTCCCTCCATTCGAGACATTGTTTAGCAAACATCGTCGATCTTGTTTGTTTGGTCGTAGTTGGTTGATCTCACAGCGTCATAAGCTGTCGGCGGAACCACTGGAATAGGAAATCGATCCTGTGAACTTCTTTTTTCAAGCATGTCGAGTCAGATTCGACTGAAGAAGGTGAGAATTGAAACTGAACGTTCTAATGGACTCCTTATTCTCGTATATACCTCTGTACTTTGTATTTAAAAGCGGATATTTCTTAAAACAGTAAGATGATACCAGATACAGCACAAGATAAAGCACGAGATCCAGCAACCTTTTTTCTTTTAGATTTAATTCTCCTTCTCTTCTGGAAAAGTTTAATGATTTGCTACCTTAATGCATGTAAATGTACTTCTTACAGAAAAGAGAAGCTGTTCGTAGGCTTTCACAGGGTTCTGGAGCTCCTGGTTACCCTCGCGATCATCGTTCTGCCTTGTCATTACAAGCTCCTGGGCAGCCACTTCAAATGAGAAAATTTCCAGGTACAGAGACGTTTTACTTCATACATACGCACAATTGTATGTAAGGTACATATTCTGTTTAATAACATAACACAAAGCTGCATACAAAGAGTACATATACCGTATGTACCACTAATTGTAATAATGAACCTCCTAGTGATTATTTAGTGACAAGGATAGTACTGCCTAATTAACTCAAATTAAATTGCTGCTGATGTGTCCTTCTGACTCATACTGTAATAATGAACCACTAATTGAAATAATGAACCTCCTAGTGATTATTTAGTGACAAAGATAGTATTGCCTAATTAACTCAAATTAAATTGCTGCTGATGTGTCCTTCTGACTCATACTACTGCATACAAAGCTGCATACAAAGAGTACATATACCGTATGTACCACTAATTGAAATAATGAACCTCCTAGTGATTATCTAGTGACAAAGATATTATTGCCTAATTAACTCAAATGAAGTTGCTGTTGATGTGTCCTTCTGACTCATACTACTGTATCTGTCTTTGTAAAATCTTTACTACTTGTTAATCATGCAAGATAAACACACACAAGTCTCTTTTGATTTTGTATTAAGAGTTACCAAAGCCAGTGGCTTGGGATAGCTCAAGCTAAAGATAAGATGGGTGGGTAGTTTATAGTAAAATCCTATAAAACTACATGTATTACACCAATCATTTAGAGCAAAGCAAAATAGTTAAACAGAACAAGATGATGGATCATGAAAAAGTCAACCTAGAGTATGGTGATAGCCAAAACAAATTTATTTTTATCAAAAGAATTATTTTTTGAAGTAGAGATATCTCATAAGAAGGAGTGGCAGCATGTGTTATAGTTTTGTTACACTGTATCAAAATGCATGACTGGCTGTAACATTAATGTATCTCAGTTTTATGCACATTGTCTAGGGTAAACCTTTTTGAAAGCATTCCTGTCCTAGAGTAGCTAGAGTCTGTTTCTCAGATCTTACAGCTGGACGTCTTGTTCAAATTCTTTGAATACTATCCATGTACTGTGGTTTTTAACAAGTTACTTTCTTTTGATGAACCAATAATTATTGTCCAAATTTTAACCCAACTTGGATGCAATTTAGGGTTGAATTTGGGAATTTTTTACCAAAGTGTGGAAGAGGGTGCAAACTTTGATGTTAAAACACAGAATACATTTTTTTTTACATCAGAGGCTAATCAAGCTAAGAAATACATGTATTTTGAGATGAGTAAATTTTGAACACTTCAAACTGAGTAATGCGCAACACTGTCATTTGAAGAATTATGGTCCCAGACAAGTTATAAAAATACATATACCTTCTGGGTGGAGAGAATCCTCCTTTCAGGCAATTACAAGCCCTTTGTAGAATGAGGCACGGCTACATGAATATTCAAATAAAAAAATTCACTGTGTATCTAATTGCTTTCTTTAGGTCAGCACGAGACAAAGAGACAGCATCCAAGTGTGCCAGGTCAAAGACCAGCTAAGAGAAGCTATGTTAGTCCACTTGACCACAATCCTGCCACAAGTGATAATGCAGAAGCAAAGCAGATCAAACATACTGAGACAGTAAATTTTGGTTTTGTTGCTACAGCTGCTTCAATGATTACTCCCTCATCTCAATCTATATCTCAGTCTACAATTGCTAAGCCTGATACTTCTTCAGCAGTTTTAGCCAAACCAGTTTTCAGCTCAGGATTTCCAGCATCGGTATCAAATTTTCAACAAAATGCAGGTAAATGATTTATTTAATCCTTTAACTCCCACAAGTGACCAAGACATAATTTCTCCTTACAATATCAATACAATATCAAGCAGGCAGGTGATGAGAATAGAGAAGAATATCAATCATGGGATTATTAGTTGATCCAATACCAAGTTCTCTGAACTAACATCATAAGAATTGTATGGCAGATAGTAAGGAGAATTACTAAATAGATCTTGGGAGTGAAAGGGTTAATCCTATTCCAGTCCCTTTTACTCTACATAAGATAATTATAATTCAGGGTTTGAAAGAGAGGAACCCTTTTCCCTCAGTTCTTCTCCTCTTTTTTATTTGTGAAGATGAAATCCAAGCCCCAGCCTATTTAAATCTTAACCTTTAACCCTCTAACCCCTTTGAGTGACCAGCATTTAAATTCTCCTTAATATAATACTGCTGAATTGAACATTAAGATCATGAGAATAAAGAAAAAGATCACCAAGCTAAGAAGCTGTGATTGTTAAATGAATTCTCCTTGTCAGTACCAAAGTAAATGTAAAGAGAAGAGTATAGAGAAAATGGACACTGATGTCAGGGTGTAAAGGGTTAACTTGTAATAGTGATCAGCATTTAATTTCTCTCCACAATATCACCCCAGAATCAAACATTGAGGTCCTAAGCATCAAGGAAATGATCACCAACTTAGGAAGCTCTTGATTGTTAAACACAATTCTTTTTATTTCCAACAAAGTTTGTAAGGATGTCAATCTATTATGAAATGTATAGAGAACAGTATGGAGAATATGCATCCTGATGTTAGGGTGTCAAGAGTTAACCCTTTAACTCCCAAGATCTCATTTAGTAATTCTCCTTACTGTCTGCCATATAGTTCTTGTGATGTTAGTTTGGAGAATTTGGTAATGGATCAACTAATCATCCCTTAATTAAGATTTTTCTTTATTCTCATCACTTGTCTGCTTGATATTGTATTAATATTGTAAGGAGAAGTTCTGTCTTGGTCACTCATGGGAGTTAAAGGGTTAAGGTCACAACCTAACACAACAAAATGTACCAAAATATAAAAATATTTTACTATGTATATCAAACATGAGCATAATTAAACAATGAAGTTGCCTTTTATTTTTATTCCCTTTCAATTCATTTAATTTCAGATTTTCTTGATCTTAACCCTTTAACTCCAGCAGTGTGGAGAATACATATTTACTGATGTTAGGGTGTAAAGTATTGAACATTCATGTAAATGTAAAATTGACAAAAATTATTTTTTCAAGACTGATGTTTTTTTTCTTTGCATAATTACAGTTCAGTCTTCAGGGGAAGCTAGTACCTCCATCATATCTACAGCTAGTAGTGGTTTTGCAACAGGATTTGGCATGAGTCAAACTAATGCAGATGCTTTTGCAACCTCATCTGGAAATGTTTTTGTGCAAAGCTCTCAACCAGCAGCATCTTTGTTTGGGCAATCACAGACCTCAAACCCTGTCTCCAGCTCAGGCTTTCAAAGTAACAATTCATTGGCTTTGGATTCATCATCAGCAAACACCAGCTCAAGTATTCTTTCTAATCTTGTTGCTTCTGTAAAGGAGCCATCATCTAACTTAACATTCAGTGGTTTTAAAAACTTAGGACCTTCTTCTTCAGCAGAAGTCTCATCAAGTAGTGTTTTTGGCACCAAAAGTGGAAGTGAAACAGTGAAAATCAGTGATTCAACTTCTTTAACTTTTGGAGCATTGGCTGCTCCATCTCTCCAGGTTAAATCTACTGCAGTCTCAAACCCTCCATTTGCAGTAGCATCTCCGGCCAAGTCAAATACATTTGGTGTGGCTGCTACAGTTAAACCACAGACAAGAATTTTTGGTCAGTCCTTAAATGCAGGAAAAGGGCAACAGCTGGCAAAGGAAAACAAGGAAAAAGTTACAGAAGATAAATTGCAAACTGTGGATATTTCCCTTCTGAAGACATTGGTAATCAGGGATATTCCTGAGTCTTACAACAAGAATGCATGGCTGAAGAGGTTCTATTCACAATTTGGAGTGGTTTCAAAGGTCCTGTGCACTGCAGTCAAGAGGAGTGCAACTGTGACATTTACAACTCATGTAAGTATGTGGTACAGTGTACACTTTATTTGTCATAAGGCAGTCGGCAAGAGCTGGTAGACAGCTAAATGGTTAGCTACAATGAGAGGAAAAAGTAGTTGGCATCATGCTCTCCTTTGTAGGTGATTGACTTAGAAAGGGAAGTTGGCCTCCACTCAACATAGCAAAACAGAAATCTTGTACTTCATCTCTTATAACTTACAGTACCGCTCGCCTATACGTTAACTGCGTAGACAAATTTAATGCGCTGGACACAGGGTAGTCAGACCCGTATATACGATTTTTTTGCGCGCACGGTCGAAAAAATGCGCGGTTCACGTGTTTTTGTTATTCAGTGCTATAAGTTTCTTTTGTATTTCATTGTTGTACGAAACAAAAGTCTTCAAGGCTTGAAAAAGCGGCGAGAAGGCAACGGAAAATTTACACAGTGAAAAAAAGCTATCATGTTACACTCGCGCAAGTCGCGTCGCTTCGCGAATTTTTCGCATAACGAGCAGTAGCAGTAGATTTGCTTGATTTGAGTTGTTGATGAATCAGCTGGGGAAGGAAAATGTCACTTACTTGAGGCATCCAAACACGAGTTTCACTGAGCAAGTAACGAAAAAATACTCACTAATATACTTCTCAACTATTCATTGCAATCAGCACTCCCTAAGATGTTTACGTCGCGGAATGTAAACAATTTGGTGTTTGCATCGCAGGTTCTGATTTCTTCGAAACTTCAAACCTACCTCGATCATCTTTGGTGAGGATCAGAAGGAAAATATACCTTTTAAGAGTGTGAATGGTGTTCTGTTTTATTCATTGCAATCGGCGCCCGCTTCAGTGTTTACTCACCGGAATGTAGACAGTTTCATTTCGCATCGCTTGTGATGTTTTGTTTGATTGCGGAGCGCATCATATTACAACGATGAAAGGTCAAGTTTTAGTAAATCGTGCAATTAGCCACTTCCGGAAAGTTATTCCTGCCGTAGTCCAACGTGAAGGAAGAGCGTCGGGATACTAAAAGCTTCCATAATAAACAAACGGCTCCTTTAGGAGCCACCAATTTTACAAAAGTCTCCGATTACCGTGTTGAACTACACAAGTTCGATTATTGCCGTCTTGATGTTTTGCCAAATTACACGCGCCGGCGAGTCTAAATTAAATTTGAACTACATGCAGTTAATTTTTCTGTTCCATTTTTTCGAGCAATTTGGTGAACATTGATCGATGATTCGACAAATATCGAAATAAAAAGCGAATCTGGTTTCTCATAAAAAAAAAAATTGCATACGAGTTAGAGCAAGACGCAGTCGTGACAAGTAATCATACTATAACACAACACCATTAAAATAAGAGAGTAGCACTTATTAGTTTTTGTATAAATGGCGAGATGAAGGAACCAGTTTTTGAGAAAAGCATGTTCACCGATGACAAAAGCTATGAAATAAGCATTCGTGCGTGGGTTTGCATTCAGAACGCGACAACTTGTTACAAACGGGCGCCTTAGCTGATTCTACCGAATTACAATACACTGAGAATAGATTTATTTTGAACAAATTCCCAAGCCGTTGCGACGGATGTTTCTATAAATGAAGTGAGAAATAGCTATTCTGATAAATGAATTCCGTTGGAAAATGATAAATCATTCATATATTCCGATTCCGAAGTCGCATTGGTAATAGCATTTTGGGAAGGTCGGTTCGAACGGCGATTGCAAACAACAAGTTTGCTTGTCATTGGTAGCCGTGTAGTATTTTAGTGCTTTTGAATTGAAGCCTATTCTTCAAGACAATAAACCGCCAACAATAGAAAAACAAAAGGACTACCTCATACATACTAATGAGGCTGATGTCTCAAAGTCGTGCGCGCACGTGCGATTTTTTGACGCGCTCGATTTTTTTATTCGCAATTGCGTTTATTTCGCGTTTTTCGGGTACCGTATACGCGAGCGGTAGTGTATGTGGAAGTTCCTTCCCTCTCCCCTTCCCACTCCCCCCCTCCAAGCAAATTATTGACTATTTTGTAAATGCCCAGCAACAGCTAAAAAGGGGTGGGGTGGGGGGGGGAGAGAGATAATTTGGATCAAATTTAGAAAAAAAGCCAAAAGTAGTAGAGTGTGCCACTCACTTTGGTCAATGATCTTTAGCTGGCTACTTTCACCTTAGTTTACCATAATAGCTATTCAAAAATTGTGTAAGTATTGAAATACCATATAAGAGACTTGTACAGCAGTCACTTTACAGTTTTGGGAGGAATTGGGGGCACACAGCAATTTAGCAATAACAGGTTTAGGCATTGGATGGTGGGTGATGTCCACTGAGCATGCAACTGGAGCTGCACCTGGATTTTTGACTGCAGCCATGGCTAGTCTTTGCATCGTAAATGGAGTAATTCGAGAAAGTTTCTTCCGTTTATATCTGACACTTCCCAGATATCGTTTTGACTTTCTTCATGGCCTCTAACAGCAATATTTTGCATAGCAGTGAAAATCAAGCACTTGATTATCACTTGTTAAATTTGACTTGCTCTTTATGTGCATTACTTAGTTGCTGCAGAACACTGCTATACTTTCTTTCCATTGCTTTGAACTGCAGCCACTTAGTCATGCAACTTACATGATTCCCACTTTGGCTGTGTTTTGTTAACTTTAATGGCTTCTTCCAATTCTTGAAAACAAAAGATGCATCTTTTCCAAACTCTATGCAAGCAAAACATACACACACGTCTTTTTCGACATTGTAACAAAGCCATGGTTACTTTTTATACCAGTCAGGCTGGAATCGTCTAGTGAAAGACTCACTGCTAAACTTGGTGCCCGGATATTCGAGTAAAACAGGTTGTTTCGGTACCATTGTCGTCAACGTAGGTGATGTGGAGGACTCTGGCTCTAGTTCAGCGATCTCTCCAAGATCTGATTGAATGCCTTTATCTATTGGGTTACTTGGCTTGCCAGGTTCCTGGACATCTCTCTTTGACTCATCAAGCTTATGTGAATCTTGGGCTATTGATTCAGGATCTGGCTGGATATTTGCAACAGATTCGTATGTTGATGAAATAGTACGTTGTTCACTCTCTGGGCTACATCCAACAAGCAGTGCCTCCTGTGTCTGACCTGGAGATTCGACTGAATTGATTAGACTGATTAGAGAAGAAACCACTTAATTTCAGCTGTGACGATTCTACCACTGGCAGACATTTCACTTTTCAGCCGCTGTGAACAATTCAGGAATGAGCTTCTACATAGTCGGAGTCGAATTCTTTCTCGCATTCTTCACATTTCACACGGTATCGATATGATCTTTTATGAGACTTTGACAAAGACATACTTCAATCCACCAGATTACATGCACATGTACTCAAGATCTGACATAAATCAACATGGCCATCAACCCATATGCAGTTCCAGTCCCAGCGTGGTCTTGATTATCACTCCCAGTCCCTCAGCAGAACTCAATGTTCTAACTCTGAGTAATGACAGCCATCCCGTGAAGTAGTACAGAGATCAGTTAGAAGATTAGGCAAGTTGCGGGATGAAAACAAGTAAATCAAGATATTAAATAATAAAATATTTTTTACTGTGTCTACGCGAATGGTACATCAGTTTTGCCCGAATAATACTAATTTTTTTCCGACAGGGGGGGGTTGCACCCCCCCAGCCCCCCCGTATGCTGATGGGTTTAGGCATGTGATTCAATCCCACATGAAAACTTTTTTAATTAAAGGTTCTTGCAAGCTTTACAAAAATTAATGCCTGAGAGTTTCAAATGGAATAGTTCCTAGTCTTGCATGTCATCTGACTAAACAACGTGGTGTCCTTTAGAATGTGGTTGCCAACCAAGTGAAATCTAAGGAAATTTATTGAGGATTTTTCTTTGACAGTTCCATCACCAGAAACCAGCTGCAGATGAAATAGCTTATATCAACTAGCATTAAGAAATATATACATAAAATAAATGGCAAATATTATTTCCTCTGTCACTTAATTACCAGGAAGGTGCAAGGTTGGCTAAGAAGGAAGGCAAGATTCTGAAATCTGGTTTGCAGCCTGTGAAAATTTTTTGGAAGCAGCAAGGTCGCAAAAGGACAACATCAGGTACATTTACATGTACAACTTGTGTCATTTCTTTTACAACATGATAATTATTTCTAACATCCTCACCCTGATGGAGCAGAATATTAGATCCCACCTTGAATTTCTTTTACAGTACGGATTATGAGGTTTACACTGTATGACAATATGGCTATTTGTACAAGTTTAAATGTCTCTAAGAACAATGTGTGAAATTTCTCTAGGTAACTGTTATAGGAGAATGATAGAGCCCTGGTTGTCATCAGGAACTTGTAGGGGGTAGAAATCTGCTGGCTGTTAGACCATTTTGCTCTGGCTTCTTTCTGAATTGTGATCAGTGACAGAATATGAATATTTTTTAGGGTTGTAGTGTTCCAGTTCCTTAGAAAAAGTTATATGAAGCATGGCTCTAATATAATGTGTGGATTTGTGGACATTGCTTACACATTTTTAAAAAAATGTACATAGTGTAAAGCTAATAAATAGGTATGTTTTTAATAATGACATTGTTAATGATTTTATTACAAGATATTGATTAGATATGATATATCTGTAAATTTTATTAATTAACAGAGAGTGAGCAGCCTTCCAGTCCAGAGAAAATAAAGAAGATTTCTGCTCAGGTATTGTGTGGTAAACAAGTTTGGGTGCTTACAGTAGCTGTCATTTGTAGTAGTAATGTTTTTTGTGTACATGAGGAGTCAACATCATTGATGAACTGTGGCCGGGAGTAGTGAATCTGTTATTTCTATCACCCAGACTGCACCTTCAGAAAAACAAACCCAGCAGAGGATAAAGATGTCACAAGCTTTGAAGGATATTCAAGAATGTATGTAGTATCTAAAGTGAAACTGTATCAACTCTGTATGTCTACATGCAATTTATAGTACTGCAAGACTCAGATAAAGATGATCAGGTTATATTGACAAGCTGTCTTGTCAATTTCTTATTTACCAATCACAAAGAAATTCAATGCAGGCATACAAACCCCCTAACTACTGTTTCCTGTTGCTGTTGTGATTGGGGTCTCTCATGTCAGATTAGGTTGTCCACGAATATTTGTGCTTATTTCTACAAACATTACGCTATTGACATTGTGGATCCTAGCAGTATGCAGGATGCATGTCATATGAACTTCGTAATAGACTTCGCTCACTGTGGAGTCTCTGTGGCTCAGTGGTAGAGTATGGGAGCATGGTGTGAGGTACCAATCCTTCTAGGGACTCACAATTTTTTCTTTGTCCCATGGTTGTGACAGGACAAAAAAATCTTTTGTTCTCTCCTTTAATATTTGTGCTGTTCAAGATTTCCTGAGTTAAACAGATAAGTTTGAAAAATATTGTTACAGCACACTGAACTTCTTCTGATTAACCAAGAGCTTGATGTTTCACAGATTTGAAGTCAGTTCCAGCAAGTGAAAGTGCTGGGGATAAACTTCAAGTTTTGGAGGGAATTGACAAAAAACTAAGATTAGGTATGAGCAGTAAAAGCTGCCTATATTGTCTTTGACTTGACATGTAACAGTCTAATGGGAATGTTAAATGGCATAATTGTGTCTGATTTGTGAACAGTGTAAAGCCAAGGTCAGGCATTCAATCAATGAGGCAGTCAGTTAGTTAGCTGTTTAGTCAGTCTGTCACTCAGTCTGTCAGTCAGTTGGTCAAACAGCTGTTTGTTAGTTGTTTAGAAAGTCAGACAGTCGGTTGGTTAGTCAGTCAATCAGTTACAATGTAGTAAGTCAGTTGTTTCTTAATTCAGTCAGTCAGTTAATCATTGTGATATCTACACTGTAATCAATTTACTGATTGATCAATCAAGCAATCTGTCAATCAATCAATCTGTCAATCAACTTCATCATCAATATCAGCTAAGTTTGTTTAATTTCCCTTCAACAATTTATCTCTCAGTGTTCGAAAGGTCATCTGACATAAGTTCTGCTAAAGCTGTCATTGGAACTTGCAAAGACATGTGTCCTGAGAAGGTAAACCTTTAGTATACTGTACTCTGCTCTCAAATATACAAAGCTTGAGCCTGAGCCACATATATTGCGTTAACCCTTTAACTCTCAGATCCAATTTGTAATTCTCCTTACTGTCAACCACACAATTCTTATAATGTTAGTTCAGAGAATTTAGTATTGGATCAACTAATTATCCCCAAATTGATATTTTTCTTTATTCTCATCACTTTTCTTCTTGATATTGAATTGATATTGTAAGGAGAAATTCTGTCTTGGTCATTAATGGGAGTTAAAGGGTTAAGAAAAATGTAATGTTTGTTGTTTGTATGAGTTCTTTTCAACCTGACAGTTAATTTTGTATGCTGTAGGAAAGGTACATGCGAGAGCATCAAAGAAGACTGAGTGTGTTTGAGGTTGTGTCTGGGACAGGCAGCTTTGTAAGTACATCTTCACTGTAATTGGTTAATGTTTGTCATTTCCAAAGAAGCTGTACCACAAATGCAGTTGGACCTATATTAAGCAGCAATGAATTAAGCAGTCATCCTGTATAAAGCAGTCAGTCCTCAAAGTCCCAAATTTGTTTCCCCATAATCATTGTTATTTTCACCACTGTTAAGCCATCCCCCCCATTATGCAGTGGTGGTCACCTTTGACTAAGCCTCAACAGCCTGTTTCTATTCTCTTCCTCCTTTAGTGATTGGTCACTTAACCTTTTAAATCCTAAGAGTGACTAGCATCTAATTTCTCCCCACAATATCAGCCCTGAATCACACATTAAGGTCATGAGAATAAAGGAAATGATCACCAACAAAACAAGCTCTTGATTGGTAAACAAATTCTCCTTGTCAGCACCCTAGGAAATGTATAAAGAGCAGTATGGAGAATATGCATACTGATTTTCAGGTATAAAAGGTTAAAGTGGAACTACTTAAATACACCTAAGAAAATCAATAATCTTTCATAAGTGAAATATAATCCATTTTTCTCTCCAGTAGTTAATATACATTAGTTTTTGTACGTTAAGCGGTCAATTATGGCATGAAATGGCATTTGTATCTTTTTATGTATCACCCCTGTTCTGTGGGACTTGTAATGAGCAGTCACCCTATCACTCCCTGTGGGTGACCACTTAATACAGGTTTGACTGTATTAGGTTAATGTTTGTTGTTTACAAAGATAGTTTACAAATATCTCTTTAAACCACCTTGACCTTTTGACCCCTAAAAGGGACTAACATGTAATTTCTCCCTATAATATCATCCTCTGAATCAAACATTAATGCAGGGCGTGAAATTAACTTTTTTTTCTGATAGCCACTTGGCTCCTAAATTCTTCAAAGTGGTAGCCAATTTAAAAAAAGTTGGTCGCCATTCTCAAAGACAAACAAAATCTTTCTTTACGCTGTCAGCGTTCCAGATAGACCCTCCAAAATTAAGTTAGGGAAAAGATCTTTAACGTGCTACAAAGTGGACACTAGGATGTAAGATATACAACGTTCAGGCTCATCTAAATCCAAGATGGCGCCTAGTTATCGATCGAGATGCATGTGCTACGTTTTGGAAACAAACTTAACGAGGAAGTTTGCCGCGGATTTATCTTTGCAAATTTATTTAATTCACTATATCTCTTAGTAAGGTTATGATGAAACGTTGTAGTCGCCAATTTGGCGACTAACTTTCAGGATTTGGTCGCCAAAGTGAAAAATTTAGTCGCATTGGCGCCTGTATTAGGCGCAATTTCACGCCCTGTAATGTCATGAGAATCAAGGAAATGATCACCAACTAAAGAAGCTCTTGATTGTTAGACAAATTCTCCTTTTTAGCTCCTTAGGAAATGTATAGAGGACAGCATAGAGAATTTGAATACTGATGTTAGGGTTTAAAAAGGGGTTTAAAATATCTTTTGGAAAGGATAAATAACTCACTTTCTACATAATTTATTTAAAAAATGTTTCTAATTAAAATGTGTTGAATAGTTATCCTTAAATCAGTTATTTCAGATCTTTCTGTATTAAAGAGAAGATGATTCACCAATTTTAATTAATTTTTTTACTTGTGAGAGTTGTAAAGATTTTTACTGAAAAAAAAAAAGAGTTCAGAGAGATTTTCCTCGTATTAGTTAAGCAGCCACAAATGATTGTTGCAGGTTTAATATTTGTTCAGTGATGGCTCGATCATTAACCCAAATTCTCCATACTGTTCTCTAAACATTTCTTATGGGACTTGCAAGGAGAATTTGCCTAACAATCACGAGAATTTTGAGGAGGTGATCATTTCCCTTATTCCCATGACCATACTCTTTGATTTAGGGGTGATGCCATTGGGAGAAATTAGATGCTTGGGGTCAAATTGTTTAGTAAAGAAAAAACAAAACATCCTGTCTGGCAAACATGTAGGTTTGTGTGGAAGAATTTTCATGTAGGTTGTGTTCTTACTACAGAACCATGAAGCTCTCACAGCTGACTGCCATAGCTTAGGAGACACTCTAAATCTCCCCCATCTCCACCCCTCCCCTTATTTTTGACTGTCAACCGCCCTCTTGGTACAAATTTCTTTCTCTCCCCAGCCTTCCACTTCCATTAAAATCAAAGATGGCGGCCATAATTTTTGTTAAGAAAATACTGAGCACTCCTCGCCAAAATTATGCCAGCTCTGCAGGTCAACTCATCAGTAGATCACAAGTTTTGAGTCTAGTTACGATGCTCATAATTTCGTTATTTTTCTGCGTATGCCTGCATGTGTCACTTATGGAAACTTGTCTTTGTGACTGACTAATTGCTTGTCACTATCAACCTTGTTGCACCCCAAAGGATGAAAATCCTCAAGTCAATCACACCCGTGCAGTCAAGGAATATGACAGATCTGCCGCTGATAAGGTAAAGGGTATCTTTCATTCCTCTTTTTCGTGCATCTGTTTGTTATGCAAATGCACTCTGTAGAGAAGTATCACTTACTCACAATAATTGATTACCTGCTTGCTGCGTTATTCACCCTTTAACTCACAGAAGTGATTAACATGTAACTTCTCCCTGTAATATCCATACATTATTCAGCACACAGGTAATGAGAATACTCAAACTCATCAGGTACAAGGTATTAACCTTGATTATTGAACGCCAAATTCTCCTAACCAATTTTCAAGGAAATGTGTAGCAGCTAGAGGGGAGAATTAACAATCAGATCTTGGGAGTTAAAGGGTTAAGTGTTGGGCACTGTGAAATTACTAGCCGTCAGTGCATTCCATTTCCTTTTAATTTGTGATGACATAATTATTCACCTTTTTTTGGGGGGGGGGGGGTGGTCGGTTTTTTTTTTTTACAAGGTCCAGCCAATTAATGATCTACATCTTGATTTTGTTTTTTTAGCATTGTCAAGAGGTTTTGAAGCTAAAAATGAAACACATTATTTTTTGCCTTAAACGACTCACATGAAAAATAAATTTTATTGAAGTACTGTACTACTGAAATTTAAGTTAACATCCTCTTTCGAGAATTGAGCCTCTAGAAACTCAAATCAAATAATTTCTCGAGGAACGGACTCATTCGCGAAGTTTCAAGGATCGAGATTCGAGGGACTGTCAACTTAGATTTTAGCGGTAACTGTACAATATTCCACAACCGCGGCTTGCATGGAAGTAAGTCCTCGTTTACATAACCGTTTCTTCGTGTTTAGGAAGAGCCATTGCCCCATGAGCTCCGCCCTGTGCCAGTCCTCAGGATGACCATGGATTATCTGGCCACAAACATCATGGATCTGTGTGAAGGAAGGGAAGGAGAGTGGTTTGATTTTCTCTGGAACAGAACCAGGGGAATCAGGAAGGTATGTACAGGTCACTAACTGTACAAAGGAGCCACTCCAGGCCTGTATTAAAACGATAGAATTTATGATCACGGGCTTAAGTATGTTTTTAGGCGCGACTCAAAGTCATTTAAGCCCCAGTTGGTAAAATAACTCTCTGGATGGCAAAAAACATATTTACGCCCGAGAACATAAAAGGAATTGCTATTACTATCACTTTGGAGGGCATGGAGATGATAAAAACTGAAAAAAATGACAACGTAACAGTCTGAACAATCACCCGAGCGTACAAGCGGGCTAACAATTATTAGAAATACGTATATGTAAAATATGATGATAAGATATTCTTTGTGAGGGTGTAAGTCTATCGTAGTCTTGGATGCACGCGCGAAGTTTTGGATGCACGCGCGAAGTTTTGGATGCACGCACGTAGTCTTGGATGCACGCGCGAAGTTTTGGATGCACGTGCGTAATTTTGGATGCACGCGTAGTTTTGAATGCACGCGCGAAGTTTTGGATGCACGCGCGAAGGTTTGGATGCACGCGCGTAGTTTTTGATGCACGCGCGAAGTTTTGGATGTACGCGCGTAGTTTTGGATGCACGCGCGTAGTTTTGGGTGCACGCGCGTTGTTTTGGATGCACGCGCGAAGTTTGGGGAGCAGAATAGAATTATCACTTAGCTCGTGACGCAATAGACAGCAGGTTTACATGTAGCTTTTTGACTGTTCCATAAACTTTGCATGTTCATCCTCATTTCGGTATAAGGTTGAGTCAAGTCCTCACTGAATGAACATAATCTTCATGTAGAGTGAGTTTATGCTCTGATATTTGTATGCGCGCGTGCTGTCGGTTCTCTGAAGTAAACAGATTTCAAAGACGAACAGATTATGATCAAGAAAAAATTCACATGTACAATACTGGGATAATTTAGCGCCAAATGAGGACTGTTACGTGCATTGTGCCTCTGATCTCTTTGACAGCATGTGTAACAAAGCGTTCACGACTAATTTACCGCCACTAATATTCAATTTTACTGTTAAAACATAACTTTTTTTGTTGCCTTCAGGATGATGGAGGAATTTAAACAAAAAAATCCGATTCTGTTTTAGCTTTTGCTGTTGCAATCTAAAGACTGATGATTGAAATATCAAAAGCTTAGCAAGCATGGTGGTTGTTTGTAAAATTGTACCGTTTATTTTCATTCTTTTTGTTGTAGGATATTACCCAACAGCACTTATGTGACCCTGATTGTGTCGATCTTGTAGAGAAAACAGCCAGGTACTTAGACGTTTGTTTATGAATACCGCGCCTCCTAGATGTGGACATTTGACGTTTAAATTTCTTTAAATGTGTGCTTAACTGGGGGACATTAGTTCTTTTGGTCTTTTGTTTTATTTGGTAGATTTCGTGGCTCTCCTCCCTCTCACGCGATTTTAGAACGCATTTTAGCGAGTTTCTCGAAGAGAAAACCAAAGTTATGTCATCGGCCAATTAAAGGAAAATCAGAACTCAACATTCCGACAGTTAAGCTACCTCAAGTGCGAGAAAACGTGGATAACTAAGTTGTATTTGGTCTTGATTTTGCACTTATTCGGTCGAGGGGCCAGGCCAGGTCTTGAACCCAGACTTCTCCATTCAGGCCACCCGTGTCCAATCAGTACTTGCCGGGGTTTTTCTTGGATGGGAAAAACGTATTGGCTTGAGACATGATTGATATCGTTACAACTTCTGACTAACCATCCGATTGGATTTCATTCAAGTTTGCTAGCGAGTTTTTTTTTTAAATGGTAATTTGGTATTACCAACGGAGTTAATAAAGTAAATTGGGCTAACGCTCGAAGCGTCAGCTTTTAAACTCTTTACGGTGGCCAATTTACGTTATCAACTCAGTTGCCAATACTAAATTGCCCTGTGATACTCTCCAACCGATGCAGCACCACAGTTCATTTAGAAACTTGCCCCCTTTATTTTTCTAAATGGTGTATGGTTGTTTGTGTTTATTTTTACAGGTTTCATATATTTTGCGCCCACTTTCTGTGTGAGGCAGACATGAATTCCTTTGATGCAAAAATCAATACTGAGAATTTAACCAAATGCCTGCAAACTTTGAAACAGTTTTACGGAGATCTCCTTAAAGACAAGGTATAGGAAATATTTTCCTGGTGAACTTAAACACGAAGAATGACTGATCCGCAAGTTGTAGAGGGACGGTCTAGAAAAATCGTACAATTGGCGGTGTTGTTGGTTTGCAGACAACTTACATTACATTACCAAAGTAATTCTGTTTTTAGCTGAGATGTGCTGTAATTTTTTTAAGCGAGAAGATTATTTTTGAGTGTAATTACTTCAAGCTCTCCAGATCAATACGATTTTTAGCTGTGAATAATTGGGACAAGATTCGAATATGATAGAGAAGTGGTATAAAACAATTCTCGCGAAAAGCTGTGTGCATCTTTTCGATGTTTTTCCAATATAATTTTTCCGCAACCAAATCGGTGCATGATGGGAATGACTTTTCTTCTTCTGCTATTTTGCTTAAGGGAGTAACATGCCCGCAAGAAGCAGAGTTTAGAGCTTATGACATTTTGCTGAATTTGAATGAAGGAGACATTCTTAGGTAAGTTGATAATTGTAGAGTTCTTATGGCGAGAGTTGAGTATCATAAGTCAGTGTTAAATCCTTATGTTATAGCCTCGATTTCGTGCGGCCTCGGGTGTACTTGTAAACCTGTGTGGGTATCACAACTCAGAGCAATGCAACACAGTATAACGCATTGTAACGAGACAATCTAGTGCAACGCAATGTTACGCACTTTTATGCAGCGCTATGCAACGCAACAGATTATATTATATGTGACATAGTTTGATGCTACTATGGTTTGCAGATTTAATGAATGTAACCGAAGAAGTTACAGTTCATAGACCCAACGTTTCGACACTCCTGTCTAGTGCCTTCATCAGGGGTGATCTAAACGCTGCAACAAGAGGTCCTTTTATATGATCACTAATAAGCGGCCTTTTTTCTGACGAGGTGTAAATAGGCGTCAGGAAGCAAATCGCCATCGTCACCATTTAAAGGAGCGTGGGCGGAGTTAATATGCCAAGCCTCCAAACAAAGGTGCTGGTGGTAACGCCGATTAGTGGTGATAATTTTAGTATTATCCCACACAATTGTACGGTTAATTAGGCATGGATGCTCCGATAAAGCTGAATTTTCCTTTTTGCAAAGGAAAACCGCTTTTTGGTGCTCTTTTAAACGTGCACCAAACTGACGTTTGGTCTGTCCGATGTATTCGTTGTCACAGTCATTGCAAGGAATAGAATAAATGGCGTCGGTTCGTTGTTCTTTCGTAACAGGATCCTTAGGTTTGGCGAAAATTTGCCCCAAAGTCTGAAAAGGTTTTTGAGCAACTTTAACGTTGTGGCTATTCAAAATTCTCTTGATGGTTTCCGTAACACCCTGTATGTAAGGAATAACAGCAAAATCAGTCGCTGGTTCCCTTTCATCAAGAGCGTTACTATTTGTAACTGGTATTTGGCAGTTACGGAGAAAAGTTTTTGTATAGCCATTTGCCTTTAGGACATTGGAAACATATTTCCCCTCCTCAGCCTTCGAATCGAGTGAAGATGGTAGACAGTCAGCCCTCCTAAGTAAAGTTTTGGCTATAGACTTTTTATGGCAAAGAGGGTGGTGAGAATCGAAGGCGAGGTATTTGTCGGTGTGGGTAGGTTTACGGTAGACACTTGTCTTTAAATTACCCTGAACCCCTCTGGACACATTTAAATCAAGAAAGGGCAAATGTCTATCCTTTTCACACTCAAGGGTGAATTGGATCGATGGCTCTACTGAATTAAAATGCGACAAAAGGCGCTCCGCTTCATTTCCGGATACCGTAGAAATAACATCATCGACATATCGTTTCCAGAAAAAGGGTTTAACCGGTGAAGTGGCTAAGGCCCATTGTTCCACGTCTTCCATTACCATGTTAGCAATGACAGCAGAGACGGGCGAAACCATCGCTGTATGAAAACCTTGCTGATAGTAGGTGCTGTTATATGTAAATTGCGTGGTTTTGAGGCAAAAAGACAGCAGATGAATAATATCCTCCACAGGCAGAGAAGTTCTTTGTCCCAGGGAAGCATCTTCTCTGAGTCTCTCCTCCGCAACCTTGACGGCAAGATCAACTGGGATTTTAGTGAAGAGCGAAACAACGTCTAAAGATACTAATTTTTCACAAGCGTTAAGAGTTTTATCTCTTATGAAATCCGCAAATTCGTAGGAATTTTTGATAGTGTAACCAGCATTCCCAACAACGCCTATTTACACCTCGTCAGAAAAAAGGCCGCTAATTAGTGATCATATAAAAGGACCTCTTGTTGCAGCGTTTAGATCACCCCTGATGAAGGCACTAGACAGGAGTGTCAAAACGTTGGGTCTATGAATTGTAACTTATTCGGTTACATTCATTAAAGCTGCAAACCAGAGTAGCATAAAACTATGTCTGATTGTCCACCTGGTTGCCGTGTGAACTTTAATATATTTTATATTATATTATACGTCTTTGCAACAAAATGTGCGACACAATTTGGGGCAATGCAGTGCGCAACCGCAAATGCTGTGAGATTTTCCCAAGGACTAACGGATATTTTATGCATGGTTCATTCGTATTGATGTTTTCTCTCCTTTAGGGAAGTGATGACATTTCGAGATGAGATTCAACAGTCACCTGAAGTGAGATTCGCCATGGCTGTTTTCCATGCTCTCAATAGTAACAACTTTGTCAGATTTTTCCGTCTTCTCAGGTACGTAAATCCTTTATTTACAATTATATTCACTTAGATATGTAGTAGAAATATTTTTCTCTCAATGATATACCCTAATGGAAGTGCGCCACGTTTTTCAAACTATATTTGGCGCATACTAACGTGCTTATTGGAATGCGCATGCTATCATTTATGGAAGATTACGTCATATCTTAACGTGATCACTCACCCTGTGACAATTTTTCTGACACAGAAGTAAATGAGTGTGATTCACCAATTGCATTATCTCAAACATCCGTGAATTTTATCATCGCCCCAGACTCTTGAAGATGCGAGATGCAGACTGAGATCGAACGCTTTTAAAAAGACCTCTTTGGCTTGTATGTTTTTTTTAAGGCATTTCAGGTCATGCGGTAATACTTTAGAGAAATGTTTCTTTCAAATTTCCTCTTATTCATGTGCACATGCACGCATAATTTATCAAAGACAGCTAGGAATTCCCTTAAAACAAGAGGCTTATGAGGTCTCTATTATTACGAGTGCTTTTGTCTTTTTTCATAGAAACGCTAGCTATCTCAGTGCTTGCCTACTGCATCGATACTTCACTCAGGTACGATTTCACAAATGGTCTACTCTTTCCCTGACATGTTTCCTTAAACTACGTTAGACTCCTTGCAGGATTTCAATTTCTTGCTCATTATGCAGTCAGCACCTGTAGGTATGACTTGGGAATTTAGTTCGATCATCAGTTCATTCTCTGATCCTTGTTAAATCTCAAATGCAGCATCCCTCAACCAATGAATGAGCGTTTATGGACACACATCCATGCACCTACACGCGCTGGATAAACAGAGTGTTACTTTTACAATGAGTGTTACAATTTCTTTTCAGGTTCGCAGCAAAGCCGTGCAGACGTTAAATCACTCGCTGAGTATTCCAAACAGAACCACACCTTTCCAGCTTAAGGAACTTGCAGACATTTTGGCATTTGAAAATGAGTCTGAGGTAACGTAATTTTGGAGTGTAGATCTTTACCTTTGGTACTTTCTTTCCTTCGTTCTTTCTTTTTTTCTTTCTTTTTTCTTTCGTTCTTTCTTTCTTTATTTCGTTATTCCTGTCTGACTGACTGTATGCCTTTTGTTTTCGTTCTTTGTTTTTGTTCTTGTGTTCCTTTCCTCCGTCCTTCAGTTCTTTCTTTCCTTTTTTCTTTATTTCTTTCCTTGTTTCTTTCTTTATTTCTCAGTTTGATGGACTGTATGCCTTCCTGTTTTCTTTCTTTGTTTTTGTTCTTGTGTTATGTGTCGCTGGTTGGCTGAGAAGTTTGACTTAATTTTAGGCAGTCAAGTCAGTCGTCATTTCAGTGCAGTAAATTTAGTTTGTTTGGATAAAGTTGGTGCGAATAAAGGTTTGAATTGAATTATGATTAAAAGGGCGGAAAGACTAAAATGATTTTAGTGGAAATGTTTTCTGAGAGTTACCGCGAATGCTTGACTCTCTAGCTTAAAAGAAAACAAAACAAAACAAGAAAAGAAGAGATCTAATTTCAACATTTTCTAAACCTCGTCGAGTAAATTTCATTGTCTAAACTTTACTATTTACAAGTTTTTTTCACTATAAGTGATCAACTGTAATAAATTCTGTTTTCGCAAAACAGGATTTTGGTTATGTCATGAAAACCTTTACCTGAACCTCCCCCCTCAAGGCTCTGTTGTATATATATGATCCCCCCTTATCGGAAGTTAATTGGCAGTCAGTTTTCTACATTCCCCTCGTTATAATCTGTTGGTGACGACTGATCCTTTTCCATTCCACCTAAAAACCATGTGACAACACCCCCCCCCCCTCCCTCAAAAATAATCATTTCCATTCTCCCCCGGGCGATTGATGACTAGTCTCTTCAAAGTAGATCTCTGCTTTTTCGGTAAGAGAATAGGTAGACTAAATTAATTCTCTGTGAACGTCAAACTCAATAATGGCTATAATAAGGACTTTTTTTTCCTTCCAGGCTGATGAGTTTTGCACGTTCCACGGTCTAACAGTAACAGAGGGGTTCGTAAACTTTGCTCGTTCTTCTTTCATTGAGCCCGAGTCTAAGCTTCCCGCAAAGAGAGCCTGGAAACTAATCGAATCCAAACGAAGCTGTTCCATTGGAGAGGTAGGTTCATGCAGGAGCCGAGGGTGTGTACAGTCATTAGTGTTTGTTTATGTATTAAGCTAAATCACGCTCGCGTTTTGATTGGTGCTTTCTTATGATCCATCGATGACAGAAGCTTAGATTAAGTGACCATTAACAATTTTTTCCCTCTATTTTGAAAAGCCAATGAATTCCATGTTGCCATGGGTCTGTACAGTACTAGATCGCAGATGACGTCATAATGTAGTCAGAACATCAGTGACGCACTCGGTTGCGCCTCCTGTGCCACCTAAATGTTCTAACCACATTTTGACGTCATCAGTGTTTTATTTTTGTACAGAACCACGGAAAACTGGAATCTTTGCTTTCTTAACTTGACTCTGATCCTGATGGTGTCATATGTGCTTTAGTGTAAGATTTTCTTGTTTTCCATGATGGTTTTTAACTCTGTGTTCTCCGTTGTTCGTCCGCTTAAATTAAACTTTCATATTGAAAAATTCCTTACACATTTACTCATTTGTATCTTCACTAATACCCTCCTTGGACATTTAATGAAATTTGGTTACGTTCCTCTACTCATTTCTATTGTTGCTTTAGGTGGTTTACAACGGACCACTTCCAACCCCCCCTCAGCATCAACCATGCCTCAGCTTCAGTGAAGACGGCCGCTACATCGGTGACTTAACGGACCTGCATTCTACACTAGTTGTAAGCGAGACACAATGTTGAACAAGATAACTAGAACTTTTTTTGAATGAAAGAGAGAATGGTCTATTATTTCTTAGCAATAACTTTTAGATAAATAATTTTTAAATGGTTCACGGGTTACTGATAAGGCCTCCTATTATCCAACTGCACTGAGTAGAGTTCAAGTAACGCGCGAATCGAATACAAATATCCTGCGATGTTGTACGGTTGGTTATTTTGTACAGGAAAAAACCTGTTTAACCAGTCGACTGCGCCTACAACGCTTTCCTATCTGCTACGCTTTTCCCGCCATATTAGAAGTGCGCATGAAATAAAGCGGTTGGATAATAAATAACTTATTTAACGCTTTGCTGTGTTGTATCACTGAGTATTTTTTTCTCCTTGTTTGTATTTTGACTCGCCCTTACGGGTTCGTCAAAATACGTTGCAACTCGTAAAAATACTCTCCAATACTACACACTACACAAACGTTTAATAAGATACGAGTTTTTTTTCGTCATCAAATGGTACGCGCGTGGCGTCTCAGTTCACTAACTTATCCTTTTTTTCTGTCGTCTGTAGCCCACTCAGATTGAACCTGCTAAACCCACAGTGTCTTACTCCGAAGAGGTGAGCTGATGAAAAACGCAAGCAGTTTTTATCGACACGATCGCTGGAAAATGAACTTGTCAGACATTCCTGAACTTTAGCATTAAGCGAGGCAGTTGTAAAAAAAAAATAAAAAGCGACCACAGTTTTGTGGCCTGTAGCTCACATGTAGAGCTCCGTTTGATTGCAAATCGTAGTGAAGGTTTCAGATCATTTTGCTCGAGCGTGTGACAAAGGCAAGTTTTGTCCTTCGCTCGGGTGAATGAAATATTTCTGACAAATCGTAGCGAGCACTTTTTTCCATAAGTGGCTGCCGATGATATCGTAAGGCGAAACCCGCACACGTGACCTTGCTCGCACGCTCAACAGACGGCGGTGAGATGTGTTAAAGGCAGCGGTAGACCAGCGGTAACCGGCTTTAATTGAAACCTCTGTGGAAGTGGTCCTAACGAGATTATAGTAAAGCGCGGAAACCAGCCTTAAAAGAGCATGAGTTATCTACGCTTTACCAGTTGGCAGATTGAGTCCATAATGAAAAGTTGTTCGTTTATTGCAGGAAATACAAAATTTTACCAAGACACTGTTCTTGGAAGTGATGAACGAAATGTGTGCAGACATTACAAAGGAAGCCATTGACAAGGTGATCTTTTTGCTTGTCATATGATAACTTGCTTAACAGGCCTAATATCTTTGGGCTTCCTTCCCTTGTGCGTGATAAGTTCTCTTTCATACAGAACTAGTACCATAAATTGTTTTCTAAATTTGAAGGTGCTTTGCATCTGTTTTTTAGTTCATCACTGTATTTTTTTTACAGGTACATGTTGATCTTCAATTGTCCACGAAGATTACAGATACGATTTACGAGGAGACGATATCAGAGTTCATAAGAGAAACAGCAAATACATTGTTTACCGAGGAACTCAGTAAAAAAAGGTCCGTGACAACTACGATTAAACACGAAACTAGTGAAGGTTTGTTGAAGAGAAGGTCACAGTCGATCTGAAGTATGTTTTTCTCTCCCCAGAATTGCTCAGGAAAACGCGATCACTCGAGAGCGTGTGTCACGCACTATTCACGATGACTTAACAGAGGAGTTTGTTTCTCTTGAAAGTACGAGGATTGCGGAGGTGGTCATAAGGTAAAAGAAAGTTAGTGTTAATCAGGAATAGCAATCTCGATCACCCACTATCGAGAGAAAAAAATTAAGAAAAACGCAACATAAAAAAACCCAAACATTAAAATAGAACCCAAAAAAACAAAACGAAACAAAACAGAAGGTTGATTTAAAAGGAAACATGGAAGGTAATAGGTGAAGTTAGCATTCCTGTGTCTCATCTGTGCGGAACTTATGCAATCGACATTTTTTCAGGTCTCCCTGTGCTTTTCTCGTGGATGGGATGAAGAGAGGCATGGGGAGAATTTAGTCTCTTGCCCAAGATCACGACACAGTGCTCTGGCCAGGGCCTGAATCTAGTTCTCTTGACTCGGAGTTTAGCGTGCTAACCAGGTTCTAACGCTCTCTGGTTCAAGTAGAGACCTTTCGTAGGGATTTTAATTGGTTGTTACTTGTTTTCCTAAGCTGTTGGAAGAGTTCAAATTCATTCATATGACGTTTCCATCGAACTTTGGTAAATGCGTATGAAAGTTTTCATTAACACAAAATTCTTAATGTCTTTGTTTATTTCTTCCAGAGAAGTGCGCTTGGAGCTTCTGAAATTGGCCAGAGAAAGAATTTCACAAGAGATTTGCCAGTCCTTGATAGAGGAGAAAATCTCGGCTGAAGTAGAAGAAATTGCTGAGGAAGTATTGCAGGAGGCAAAGGCAGAAAGAGACGCTAAGTTGCAGCTATTGGCCGGCTATGTTATAAAGAGTAGAACTGCAAAATATTTCGAAAGGTGCACACTTACTCGCTGCATTCTGATCTGTTACAGAATTAACTGCGTGAAACACTGCGTTACCCGTGCCTCCCTTGTCAGGTTTGGTTCTGTCCCCAATGTCGTGTCAGTCTCTCTCCAGTCCACCTCTGGGGGGTGGGACAAAGGCGAACATTTTTGTTTTTTTCCAATGATTCTCAGGACTCTAGTGTCGCCAAAATGCATCAGCTGTGGCAAGTGCCCGGTTAATAAATTTCTTTACCCTTCCCTTAGCCTGCATGGGAAAGGACGCAGAAAGATAGGTCTGTGCTATAAGATACGGACCGAGTTTCCTCCCCTTGGTAAGAAGTGCACAGGCGCGGGCCATAAATCTTATCGGATAGACGAGATTCCGTAGCTAATAGACTGAGAAAACGAGGCTAGTTTGTTATTTATGATATCTCCAGGTTCAAATAGTGGGGAAAGGTTTCAGTTCAAACAAACCTTTGAATTTTAACCTCACTCTTGATGATTTACGGATTTGACGTCATTCAATGATTTGGGTGAATTTTGTCAAAGACGCCACTTACAAGTTGTTTCTTCTCCAAGGTGGCACACAGCATTCCGCGCTAGTGTGCATTTAAAGGGACTTCTTAACACTTTTCCTCCTGGACCTCCCATGGTCAGCATCGATAATCAACTTCAGCAACTTGTGGGACCCAGAACACAGGACGTCACCATGGCTGTTATAAGGTTAATGTGCCTTTTTTCAGTAATGAACCGTCTCTGTGTGCTTTGAGACCTAGTCAGGCTGTTTATACTGACAAAGTTAAACTTCCATGTAATAAAGTTGCAATTGAACATATTTCAGGACTGATGCCCATGAAAGTGAAATCCGTAATGTATTGGAGAAAAGACAAGCACATATGGAGTACAGCAGGTATTGCCGATGGTGCGCGTAGAAGAAATGCTTGCGTGCCAACGACGGTCGTTGTAAAAAAAATTGACAGACGAACGAACAAACCATAGAGGAAGTGTAGTTGTTCTGATGAGCACGTTAGCAACAAAAAATCTTTTCTCAAGATCAGCAAAACTTTCCACCTTAAAATTCAATTTACTGCCACCGAATGTTTTGTAACAAATAATAATTGCAATAGAACGAGCAACAAATATTGGAGTACCATTAAGTTGGGGAAAGTATTCATCTCAGTTCAGCACAATTCCACAGTCTGCGGGTGTCTCAGCGACTGATGTAACTTCCTCCATTTCCCTCAAGGAGTGATTAGTACGTTGTTTGCTCTTAGATTTAGAACCCTCAGTATTGTATGTTAAAGATGGGAACCAAAGGAAAGAAAATCGACACGACGGTATATTTTCTGTCCATGTCACTTTGAATCCTTAGCTTTAGTCAGCTAAGAAATCCTTGGTCATCAGTCATGGTTCAGCTTTGAATAAACTTTCTTTTTAAATAAGTCTATTTTCTTCCTTTTTATCACAGAAAACAAGTATGCCGTCCGCTGGACGTACCATTGTTGCTTGCAGACTCGATGAGATCTCAGCCAGTCGCTCAAAGATTATGTCCCAGCTCCCCGGTTTATTGGAAATTGATTCTATCGCTACCAGAGATGCGCGATGGCCTTAAATTCACCGGTGATCACGAGAGCGGGCTTGACGTTTGTTCTATGATCAGGGAAAAGTTGAAAAGAGGATTTTATCCAGTCAGTGACAACATTCCTCATGGACTCAAGAGAAAAGTTAGTCGTTAATTTTTTCGCTCCTTTATTTAGTTTTTACTTTGAATAATACTGAAAATGTGGCTGACCAGTTAGTGCTGGAGACAGAATCACGTGACTGTAGTAAAGTGCGGGGAACCATGTCACGTTTGGTTTGCATATTGAGTCTGTTTGGCTGAATAGTTTGCACCGTTCACTGTTTTTTGCGTTTAAGATCTCGTTCTGCTCTAGCAAGATAGCTTTTGCTGTACGGTCTTGACAGGATGGACCTATTGGTGTTGGACGAGAGAGCAGATTTTAATTTGTTTCTTTTTTCTTTTTGGTGTCGTCCTTCATTAGATTGATTTGTTAGCACTCTATGGTGCGGAAGTCCGTGGCGTTCCCTTACAGAACAGAGTGATGAAAATTTGCACCAAGGTTAGTGAAGAATAAAACTACTCACTTTTCACTTTTCTTGCCGTAATTTGAATTTAATTTTCAGGTTAGTTAGTCCAGTCTTAAGTATGGTAACCTAGCCTCCCTTCACTTTCCCCATCCCCCGTTATGTAAATTATACATGACCATGCATGCCTCGAACGGTTTTCCGTTAGAGAGGCAACTGCTTTAATCATTCGTTAGCCTTTCCTTAGAGATTTTCTTGAGAAACAGTTAGAGCGATGGCGCATCCTTGAAACGCTAGCGTAGTAGTTAATGAAAAATCGATAAACATCAGATAGGACGACTGAGGTGTTGGATAAAGATAAAATACGATCACATATTTATCGAAGAGAGTGGGAAGACTTGGAAAATAGATGTTCTTTCACTAAGTTGACACAATTTGATGCTGATAAAAATTATCATTTGGAACTCTGAACTCAGTAAGTTATAGCCAAGAATATATTTGCGTTCTAAGGGAGTTTGTACTCCATTTGAGGAATATTTGTTCAATTTCCACACTCGCTTGCTTAATTCTGTATTCCATCTTGTTCCATCGGGAACTTGTGTGTATGTTATAAGCTGATTAGAGTGAGGTAAAATGCCGTGGCAGTAAGAATTTTTGTTGTTTTATCCAAGTTTCTATGCTTTGCAGGCCTGTTATGGCGTTTTGACGAACACAGAAGTAAGAGAAGCGATGGAAACGCGGCAGTTTTTCGGATCTCACGCGGCCATCTTTGTTGTTGACGGGAAAGAACTTCAGCGCAGTCCAGAGGTAAAATGATCTTGAAAGTATCAGGTGCTTTTTCCGCTCGAGTTATGCCAGTGTTCGTAACACTTCTTCACGTTGCTCATAAACTCTTTCGTACCCAAAATCTGAATATTAACTCCTCATATTTTTTATAACTAAATCCCTGAAGAGGTGGTTAATTCAACAAAATCTCCCACTTCATATTTTTCTCTTTTTCTCTTTCCTCTTCGTAGCTTTCTGTTTAAAGTTGTAATGATATCTAGGGGAGAAATTCCTTCTCCATCTTCATGGCATTGACAGGATAAACTCAGGGGTTTCAATAACTTTTTCCATAAGCGACTGCCGATCGTGTTATAGGGAGCTGTACCCGAAAAGTCTTTGAAAGAAATTCGTTTCAACTATGTACGTGGCTTATCCTTACAACTGGATTGTTTGACTTTTATTTTCACGAATGAAGGTGGTAAGTTTCTAAAGAAACTGTGGTGCTGCGTCGGTGGGAGAGTATAACAGGGTAATTTAGTATCAGCAACTGAGTTGATGACGTAAATTGTCACCATAAAGAGTTTCAAAGCTGACGTTTCGAGCCCTTTGTCATTCGGTCTTGTTCGTATTATCAACTCAGTTGATAATACTGAAATATCATGTATTTTCATGGCCAGTCATTGTGATGTTGGTACACATCTTGACAGTTGCTTTCGTAATGTGTAAACGCGCATCTTAGGCCTCAAGAGAAGCTCACATTCGCCTGAGACGTATACTTGAAAGCAAGCCACCTGAACCGAGACTACCAGTCGCTGTGATAGTAATTGACCACGAAGGAAATTCGACAACCGAAGGTAAGCTACTGGGCCTACGTGAAACATTATTAGCGATAGCCATATGCTTTTTTTTCTGGAGCATCTCAGCGGGCCGGAATCTAAAATCCTTGGTTCCAGCAGCTTACAGCAGCTTTTTTTTTGTTAATTTAAAAATATTTTTTTCAGACATTTGCCTTCCTGTTCAGTGCTGGTCACTCATAAACCATTTTACGGCTACATGAATTGTTGCAAACCTTTGTTCCAAACGGAGGCTGACGATGACCTTGAAATTCTTTAAGTTGTTTGCATGAAAAATGCGTGATCAGTTACACGCGAAAAGCAGAAAGGTTAACCTAATAAAAAATCATATATCATATGGCTCACTTATCAAAGTGTTTATGCTTTTTATTCCAGCAGATATGTTATTCCGTCTGGGTGTTCAACAGCTAAAAGCAGATGGTCTCCTATCAGAGTGCAATTTATCTACAGTCAGCTCGCTCTCAGGCCACCAAGAAGATCTGTCTCAAAAGGTATGTAAGAGGTTTTTAGCCCTTTAATTCCCACGAGTGACCAAGACAGAATTTCTCCTTACAATATCAATACAATATCAAGCAGATAAGTGATGAGAATACAGAAAAATCCTAATTCAGGGATTATTAGTTGATCCAGTACTAAATTCTCCAAACTAACATCACAAGAACTGTATGGCAGACAGTAGGGAGAATTACTAAATGAGATCTTGGGAGTTAAAGGGTTAATAGGTTGACTTCATTGGTGATCAGCTTCAAAGAGTTCTTGTAATGCAAAAAAATGATCTTTGTTGTCTTTGTCAGTGTGACGATTGAACCCAAAATTTATCATATTATTTAAGCTGTTATTTCATTGAGAGCACTTTCATCTCATTGCTGATTGTGGTAATATACTCGAGGCTTATATGAACTTCAAAAGCAATTTTCAGTTGTGTCGAAAGTGATCTGGGACTGTGTTATTTTTGCTAAATACTTCGCTCTGTGATAGGTCCAGAAAACTCGCGCCATTTTGCTCATCCAATCGCATTCCAAACAAGAACCAAACGCGAATTTAATCACACGCGTTTTCCGGCGCTTCAGGAAGTTTGGTTGTTTTTGAGTTCTCATTGGTTCTATGAGGTATTTTCCTCAGCCCTGACTAGCTGTTGTCGTCACTAAATGGTTTTAATAGAAATGCGCTCTTAGCGACGTAGTTCACCATGTAGTGATCTTTTTCATTCCGAGGATGTTAGGGTTAATTTTCTCAACAAGTGACCACAATTTTTTTGGGGTTCGTAAGAATTTGAAGGTATATCAAAGCATTATCTCCATTGAAATAATCCTACTAACTTTCGTTACTTTTCAACTTATTAACATACATAAATTGTTATTAGAATCTAGCGAAAGATCACTCCTGGGAGTGAAAAGTTAAAACAACTGGGAGGTTTTTAGCCGGTAACTCATGACAGTGAGTTAGGTACCGTCGTTCTAGGAAACCTTAACCCCCTGTTGAATAAAATCAACGGTGCCTATATCATAATACCTATTGACCAATGGTTGAAAATTTGTTCCATTTACAGCTTTGTTCGGCAATAACTTGGTTAGGACGTCACATGGCTCGATGCAGTCTCCCAAAGACCGACAACGTAGGGAACTTCATTGAGAACGGTGAGTGTCGTGGCTTTAGCATCTGTCAAGTTAGCGCCAGCATACATGCCAAATGTGAGTGTTATTGAAATTTATTAAGGGATAGAAATAACCCCTTGCCGAAGTTTGCGTGTGAAAATCATTCACATCCAGTCTATGCAACACTTATCTGCGCATTTGCGTGTTGTTTTCCTTCTGGTTTAGTTTGTTGTTTATGACGTCGTTGATTTTCCATGACGTCGTTAATCACGTAATTCAGTTAAGCTTTTTGTCAACTAAAGGGACGTCATTATGTGAATGACGTGAAAAGAGCTACGACCTCGATTATCAAAACAACTTCGTTCAATCAGTGGCGTCGTTAAAAAGTTGATAACTTCGCTACGACCTGGACCCACCGAAAAAAACACAAATTTAAGTGGGGATAGCAACTTTTCTCAAAACGAACCCTCACCATCGGCTTAAGGGCGTACAGTTTAAGGACATAGTAAAGTTGCAGGAGAAACATGGTGTAAAATATGTCGACAATTTTCAAAACAGAACTGGAGAGGAAACACTCGTAGATCAGGAATTTGTCAATGTTCATACCAATCCTAACTTTGAGCCGTGAAACCTATTGATCTCTTCCTTAGAGTTGTGATGCGCATTCCAAAAAGATAAGCTTTCATGTTCAATCCGTGTGAAATAAGTTTGTAATTTTCTAGGTCTTCAGAGATTCTTCACCACACCACTGGCGGAGGATGTGTTTGTCAGACGACAAGCCAAATTGGATCAACAGGTACTCGTAAAATAAATTGTCGTGTGTTCAATACATGAGCCTCTAACTCGTATGTAAGGGTAACCTCATCCCAGACTGGGATCAACGTCTGTGTCGGAGGAACTGCGCAGCTACTCCTCCCCTAACCCTATAACAGTTAACTGATGATAGGTCAGGGTTAGGGGAGGGGTGGGTGCGTAGTTGTTCATACACTGACATTCCATAAATTGATTGATACATGTGTCTTGTTTTCTCGTTGGAATTCAATTTTCTCGTTTCGTTTTTCTTTTCCAGTGTCCAGAAGCTATTGTTGAATTATACAACAGCGCTTTGGAACATTTAGGAGCCGTTGCTTCCTCGAGGAGTTTACAAAATCTGTCCTGGCCGATGAAAGAATTCAGCGATAGAGAAAACGGGGAGCATGGTAAAGACGAATTATTTCTATTCAACCACAGCCGTAACTTTAAGGGCTTACAACCTTCTATGTTTTATGTTTGTAGTAGAGACCGGTCATTATTTATCGCCTGAGGGGGACGTCGGATAATTTGGTTCTGACGCAATAAAACCTACCCGATCTGTTTTCTCCCCCTCCCTCATTGGCAGTCAATTCTCAATAATTTCCCCTCCCCCTCTATACTCTGTTAGTGATGACTGACCCCCTTCCTTTCACCTGAAAAACCATGTGACCCGACGAAAATCCTCCGGAGCCCCCCTCCCAGAGGATGGATAATTATAGGTCCCTTGGTAGAGTTGCTAATTATTGTCTGAAAAAAAAAAAAAAAGGAAAAAGGTTAACAAGGGTTTCGTTTAACCGCGCTTTATGATAGGTCTAGAAAACTTTCGCCATCTCAACAAAACAAAACACATCTAGGATTTAGTGACTCGCGCTTTGAGCTGACTTCACGTCCTTGCTGTGCCTTCTGTTTAGTATTCTTTGTTCTGATTGGCCGGCTGGAGTACTTTGGGTTTGGTTTCACAACACCTAATCGAATAATAGCTTCCTATTTCCCAGGTGACTAGAGCAAGGCTACGTCCTATTTCCTGTTTACATAATGACGCCTCATTTAGTTGCTTTGTTACCTTTACAGAATACAGAAGTTTCACACAATCTCCTCCTTGCAAAGAAAATTAAAAAAAAAGAAGTATAGAAAAGAAAAGGAAAAAAAAAAGGGAAAAAATTTATTTAGTGTTTTGCTTACTACCCAACAGATGTACCAGATGCTACATGGAACAGTTACGAGAACTTACAAAGGATGAATACACTTATTACTTCATTAAAACTGCCTCCACCTCCACCAGCGGCTGTTGATGGTAGGAAGCATTCTCCTTATCTTTGGAAATTTATATCTTTTGTTCAGGTAAAGACATCCATTTTGAAGCTTCATCGACGACTAACTCGCACTCTCGCGTGAAGACTGTGGTGTGAATGACTTCTTCGAGCGAGAAAGCCTTACGGAGAGGTCCACCGGCATGCTACCTTAAAAAGCTTTTCCAATACACACGCCTTTATTCATAGTCTGTTTATTTTCCAGGCACATGGGAGTCTGAAAGTAATTTATGTCTAGAATACGCTCGAAGGTTATCACCAGACACCGCCAGCCTGTTAAACAGGTAAGTGTGATAGGCGCTGGCTTCCTTTTTCACCCTTATCAAAGAAACCAAGGGAACCTTGAGTCTTGTTCCCAGTCGACCGAACTCGATGTTGAAAATTTTTCTCGCTGTATATTCTCACACGCCGTTTTCAACCCTAGAGATCGTAATAACATAAAGGACGCTCGTGTCATGTGAATCAAGGGCCCATGGGGCCCTGATGTGAACCCAGTAGCCCTCCCACTCACCCCGCCCCTTCCCCAAATAGGTTCCAGTAGCACAGAATGCCAAGGTCTGTAGACACGGAGCAGTCCCCCTTTTACAGTGAGGTCCGTCATGCGGGTAAAAAAAAACGAACAAAAGTGAAATTGGCGAACCAAAAAAATTGATTTGAGCGCGCGGAGGTCAGGGAGTGCGCCTCATTTCCAGAGTTCCGCGCGTGCATTAGCATTGAGCTGCCGAAAAGGTGGGACTACTCGTAGTCTTGAAGGTCTGGGTTTTCTTGTGCCTACGTGAGCTACAAAGCGGATCCGTTTAACACCCTGAAATCTGAGAATTTTTCAATGTAAAGAACGATGGGGTGATGCGTGAAATAAAAGTTACTCACATAACATCAAGCAAAAACAGAAAAACAAAAACAAAATCAAAGTGCTCTGTGAGCAAACTCGTGAATTGACACATGATTTTTTGGATTACGTTTAACTTTATCTGGTTTAGGGAATTTTGTGGTTGATTGTCATATCTAGAGTACGAGCAGTAGTACAGTGTTCGCAGCAAAGAAACAAAGTAACGTTGGGATAAGAAGGCATTACAATTGAAATGATCATGCTATTACATTTGACAAGGGTGGATGATGTCATGTGTTTTAAACGTATATCATTTTTGTTTCTGGTTCAAAAGAAAAGGTTGGCAGTAAATGTAGGTGAAAAATGAAATTTACCGTCTATCATTGTAAATATTAGAAAACCAAGGCAATAATGTCTTAATGAAAACATTAACGATTCCCTCTTTATCAAATGAGACAAACGTGAACGAGTTTTGAGTGATATAACTAAGCCAAGACTGCCACCGTCATTTTGGATCTCCGCCTGGGTTGATTTTAGACACGTGCTAGGCAACGTATAATCAAGAACAGGATAGAATTTCATTTCAGGCCTATTTATCAATTTTTTGGTGTATAACTTTCGCATTTTAGTACGTAATATTTATTTGAATCTTCAAATTGTCTTGAAACTTAAAAGAAAATTTTTCTTTAAAAATTCACTGAAAATCGGTAGCTAAGATTGTTTGTTTAGGTGTTATTTGATTTTCGTGATAACTTGTAATTTCGTCAGTCGCCGGCATCTTTTGTTGCTTTACGCAGGAAAACACACCATACGAAACGTAATGATCGATTTTTTCCTCAATCTCACGCCATAACAGAAAAAGCTTTGGAACATCTGTAAACTCCGAGCGCTTTGCAGTAAGTGATATTTTCAATGAATCTTCGGATTGTTTTCAAGTTCAAGGATTGTAAATTACAATTTTATGAAAAACGAAGGTTGTTCTGTTATTTCAGTGTGAATCCTTGCATGCCTGCCAGTCGCTGCAATCGACCAATCGAGCGAGCGAGCGGGCGAGTGCCATTCTCCACATCATATCTACAACTCGCTCTTCACGAGTTAAAAAGCGAGGAAAGGACAGGGAGGTGATTACGAGAAATGGACATGTCCGAAATCGTTGCATAAACTTGATCGTTGTATCAGGTTACCAACCACACACAACGTGGAGAAATTAAAAATTAGCGAATAGAATTTTGCATTCTCGTCGTTATAGAGATAATGCGTAGCTAAAGTGACGCGCAAATATGTTAAAATACGTCACAGTGTGTTTAAGTAAACAACACATGTACACTCTGCAATATTACTATTCTGTTTTAGTCGAGTTAAATTTTAACAGGAAATATCCCAGGTTTTATATATAATTAGTATTAGACATGAAATTCCAGCAATTTCAAGTCAAACTATATTTTAGCTCTCAGAAAGGCCCGTAATTCTTGTTTTTCAAAGTAACCTTCAAAACTTACATCGGCCTATATAATATCTTTGAATGTTAGAAATGAAATTTGTGGGACTGTTTTCCCGGGGTTCCATTATTCAATTCACATATGTTCTGAAAAAATTTTAATTTTTTTTTTATGAGTTTTCCTCCGAAACCAGGAAACCCTAGCAAGGTGACTAGAAATTCTCAGTTTCATTTAGAGCTTGTCCACAACACAACTTTAAACTTGCTTGTGCTTATCGCATCCTTAAAACCTTCCAGACCTCTTCGAAATTGTTGAAAATCCTATTGAGGCTAATAATAATCTTTGAGTTAACTATGACCAATTTACGCCGTGAGCGCAAGGAAAAGAGAACCACTCCGCAGGGCTGAATACGCGATGTGGAGTGCTATAAAATTCCACATTCTCGCGTGTAACGCTTTCTCTAGAGACCTCTAGAAGTGTTTAGCGACGATAAACAAAGCTATTTTTGGTTAACTCAGAGAACTTGCAGAAATACCTCCAGCCTGCATAACAGGCGCTTTATGAGCCAAGCGAGGCGAAAGTGGCATTTTGCGCGAAGCGCGAGAAGCGACGAGGGGAGTAGAAAAATAAAGCTTTATTTTTCTCCATCCCTCGTCTCGCGCTTCGCACTCGTTTCGTGCTTCGAGCAAATGCCGCGTTCGCCTCGCTTGGCTCATGAAGCGGCTGTTATGCAGGCTAAAATACCTCTTCACATTTATAAGATAAGGTGTCATTGATTTGTTAGAGCGGGAAGAGACATTTATAACGTGCAAATAGTCGCGAGCTGAAAGGTAACTGACTGATTTGTAACAAGGACTCACCCTGACAAACAAGAAATGATCTCACTTTCCGGAAAGGAACGCTCTTTTAAACATAAACAAACTTCAAAAATAAGTAAAGGAAGCAAAACAATGAACAAAATAGATTTTTTCTTGACTTAGTTATTCCGGCGAGAACAAATGGTGAATGATTCATTCCTGGAAGCAAGCCTCTAAGGAGAAGTGAGAACACCGTTTGGGCAAAACTCTACAATTTGTGTACTTTACTAGCCTGTTCACAGACTCTCTTCATTTTTAGATATCTTCGAGTGCACGTATAAAAAAAAAGCGCGTTCCGCCCTCTCTCACGAACAATCACTTATCTTGTGCGCGCACCAAATTCCCAAAACAGAAAAACGTCTGTGAGCAGGGTAGTACTTTCTGTTTCTACATATTTTGCCCACAGAGCTGGCAAGTAAAATTAATGACGGTTTTTTTCAGCAGGTCAACGTAGAGCGCTTTGCGGCGAACAGGCTTGGGAGGTACTTCTAATTCTAGTAGCTGACAAATGTTTGGAAACATTCCAAGTTTAAGTCGCTCCAGAGATCCTCCCTTGGCCATGGTACAGATATCGTGCTGATCGTAAGTGATGGGATGCTGTAGCGTGATGGATAGGATTGTTTCTCTTGCCATGGTAAAGTTTTCCTCTTCTACTACAGCTTGGATTTCAGCATCGTCGGATGTTTGCCGTCGGACCTTCGCTGCAAGACGTGAGAGATATAAAGTGCACTGCTGCGGGGTAGGAAACTCGGATACTTTGAACAAACGATCACCATCAGGTCCTTTTGCACGTCTCATTTCACGTGATACGATATCACCGTCTAGTTTTCTGCGGCTGGTTTGACCAATTGTAAACTTCGCATTTAGATAATCCCTCTGGTTTTGGTTAAAACGATATGCTTTTTTGCTCGGCTTTAGCGCCCATCCTTCTTTTACCTCTACTTCGCCGGATGTAGCCTCTCTTGTATCCCTAAAAGACGCAAACGAAATAACTTGACTGGTCGTGCCCTCCTCCGACCTGGACTTGTAGCCTAGTTTGGCAAGGTCTAACAAAGACCGTTTCTCTAAAGACTTAGGGCATTTCTCTAAAGATAGGTGTTTTTCGAGAGAAGACAGCCTTTGAAAGACCCTAACACACCCATCCTGAGGGCAGGTAAACACGGATGACGATTCATTTGTATTGTCAGTGGGATCATGAACCTACTCCACTTCCGTCTCTTGCTTCTTCCTTGACTGAGTCGGTTTTGGGCTAAGGGGTTTAAAGTCTCCAGAAGAAAACTCAGATGAAAGCCAACTAATGCCATGTTCTGAAGTAGATAACACATAAAGAAACAAGATTTACATAAACAGCACTGTTAACCTACTTCAATAATTTACTCTGCACAGCTTGTGAAGAGTGCCCCTTTGGTCCACTTTACTGCGCGAACAGATGAAACGTTTGCTTTTTACATATTATGACGACATTTTCTTCAGAACCGCTATATTCTGCGATGTTCGTTTTAAAAATTTTGTAGAACAAATCAAGGGCTACAAATTTATAAAGGGGCTAAGGGGCTTAAGTCTTTTACAAAGCAAAACCCCTCGGGGTGGTAGACACCCGCTCTTCCTGCGCACCAGGGTGGGAAATGGATGCCTTTCATACGTCTGAAGGCTATAAAAAACGATAAACGTACACCTTTTTACTCAAACTATAAAAAAAAAAGTTTGCGCGGTGACATAATTCTAAAGAAGGATAAAATTGTGAATTTTCATTAGACTAACCTTCTGATGTTGTTTCCAATGGGATCTCTTTTCCCTTTCCCATACCATAAGCGCGCCAAGCCACGACAATTTTGTCTTTAAACTCGAAATTGTTTCATTCGTTGATACCAATAATCTTTCTGTTGTCATCTACTATTGCTTCTTCTTCAACACTTTGCATGACAGCAACTCGAACTCCTTCTACCCCCCTATGCGAAAGAAGAGCACTCTTCAGTTGTTCGGCATTGGTCACGTCATTTCCTTCGTTTATGAAAGTTCTGACGTGATTCTTGCAGGTTGCAGCGAGCCTGTCTGCGGCACCTTTTCCACCCTGTGGGTCAGAAAAGTCAATGCGCTTGATTTCGATGCCGGTGCAGGAGGATATCACTTGGCATGAGAGTACGGTGGACGACGAATGATAACATCCTGCGTTATCTTGGCGAAAGAACTTCTTGTTAATCTCATTGTGCTCCAGCTTGATGGTATTCAGGACATCCTGCATGATTTTAACCACTGCAGCACTGCCTTGATTGCACGACTGGATTATGTGCAGAAAGCCCTGTCACTGGACTACCCCGTTCACACGACGGTAGACGACAGAAACGTGCCAGGAGATGCCTCGCTTACCAAACCAGTCTGTTTGGGACTCTCTGTATTTTTGTGGCAGGAACTTCATGGCCCAGTCGTTAATTATCAAGACAGTGTTGTCGTCAAGTTTCTCCAGTGCATCTATTCTCGCTTGGTCTTGGTTAGCTGATCTAAGGATGTGGCATTTCCAGGATATTATGGCCAGCTGGGCTGTCTGGAATATAAATAGCGCTTCGTCTTTCGCGTTCTGAGTCGGAAAGGTCGTCTCGCCAAGGACGCGTTCAATCTTTGCCAGAGTTTCCTGAAGACTTTGACAACGGCCACAAAGATGAGTGTGTTGGTGACTGCATTGTTGCTGGTAATCTGCATCACTACTGTCGCTAAGAGCAAACAACACACAGTGGTCTGCTACGTTAGAGAGGCTAGTGACATGAACCTATTGACAAAACAAAGTTGAGATTACTGTTTGTCTGTGCTTATACTTCAATATAATATTTAATCAAATGATTTTTTACTCTAACAAATATTATTAACGTAAGGGGGCGAATAACTTTTAACCTTAACCTTAGAAAAGACCACTATCCTCGTGCGCGCATTGTTAATCTCGAGAATTTATGTAAGCTAGTTACACGTACACCATTTATAGAAGAAAAAGAGTACAAAATATATATTTTTTTACGGAATGATTTTGTTGACGAGGTAAAATAAGTCCTTATTTTTAGTTTTATTCAAGCTGTCTTTCTGGCGTTAGAATTCACATTACCTTATAGTCCCCCTTCAAATACTGCTTGCTTGTCATAAGAGCTTGCACAACTGTAGTCTCCCACTCCTTTCCGGAACCTGTTTCCCCTATTTGGCGTATGAGGACCACGAGATCATCAAATGCGCGAGCACCTTCAGCTGCAAAATAATCTAAGCCCTGCAGTGATTTTCTTACAGAGGCACTGCACTCAGAGAGTACTCGTCTCATAGTAGTTTCCCTGAATGGTTTGAAGTTGGTCTCCAAACAGTACTGAGTGTACTGTTGTACCACTCGCTCGGGTATCATCATACGGATTGCGTTAGGTACTTGAATAACCTCACCAGACGAAAGCTTGAGATGTTTTTGCCCAAATGGAAGGTCCTGAACAAGATGCGGGCTCGTGATGAAACTAAGAAAGTGGCCAAGCTGCCTCAAGTCTACTCGTATTCGTGTGGTAGGCTGATGTGGAACTTAAGCGCCTCGGCCAGACTGTGATCGATGAAGATTAGCCATGAAGTATCGGTATCTCTCCTTGTCTGACGTTGTCTTGTTCACTCAGAGGAATCACTCTAAGAAAGCCATGGCTTTCCAAGCGGTTCAAGTTTGCATGCTACCAGGAACTCACTCAGCTTTTCGCGCGGCTTAGGTAAGATCACAGGTGTGGGCTCGTCACTCTGAGTGGAAGCTGTGCTTATTGTGTCTGGTGACAGAAAGGTGTCATCAGTGATTGTAAGACGTCCAAGGCTTTCTGCGAACTCTTCAACAGATTGACCGGAGAGCTGTTGAGCTGATCTGTAACATACAAAAAAGACGTTTAGACATCAATGTTACTCCAATATTTCTGTTTATTTTGTCACTAGGCATTAGTTTTTTAGTATAGTTCGAAACTTAAATTATACATCATTTTAAAAAAGAAAATATGAATTTACATGCATACCAATATTATTATCAATAATTCCGCTCCGGCCAGACCGAAAGGAATTTAAAGAAACGAACAGTGACCTATTCGTCTTAAAATCATTTTCAGAGTCATTTTCAAAGTTTACAGCTATTCACAGTTACCCAGCCCTTTCGGAATTTCGACATTTGTTATGTTGGAATAACTGTCTGTACCCAAGGTTACCGTTTACTTACTTACATTTGCTTCTGAAGTCTCTAGTTCTACGCATGGAGAAAGAAAAATATCAATTTGGGGATAATTAGTTAATCCAATATTAAATTCTCTGAACTAACATTATAGGAATTGTATGGATGACAGTAGGGAGAATTTGATCTGGGAGTTAAAGGGTTAATCTTTTAGACTCTAACATTGGTATGCATATTCTCCATACAGTTCTTTATACATTTGCTCAGGTGCCCACAATGAGAATTTTTTAATAATCCAGAGTTTCATGAGTTGGTGATCATGCCCTTTATTTTTGTGACCGTAATTTATGATTGTGGGGTGATATTCTATGGAGAAATTAGATGTTTGTCATACTAGGGGTCGGCTTCAGGGTTCAAGCAAAACTCGAACGTACCTTCATTCTGCAGCCTATAACCTCATGATTACTCACCCTTTACTTTTTAGTCAGGATGTTGGAAGCTGTTCGATACGTTAATTAGTCGTAATTTGATTGACACCTATAAGTGATTTCGTTTATCTATACATATCCAAACAATCATGTATGCGGCACGTGTTTTATCGCCCCATATATGGCATTGTTCCACGTGCTTACAACGGGACATTTTGTGCGTGTTCTTTTCGAATAAACTGGGAGCTGTGAGTGGGAGTTAACCGAAGTGTTTTAATAGAATCGATCAAGTGAATAAACCGTGACTTATAAGGAAGCGTGGTACAGCTTTATCAAGTTTTCGACAAGGGAAGTACATGTGGCAATTTTGGAAGCTATTACCATTGCAACATTATTAAATTTCGAACGCTAGTGGCCTATTATTATTCTATTTCGAAGCTTTTTTCAATCACAACTGATGAGACGAAGCGTAAGAAAATCACTATGCAAATGTACGAACTATTTTTTAAAGATGCATAGGGTAACATGAAACAACCTTTTTCTCAACCCAGTGGAATTGGGGCGTTATTTGAGTTTCCCTATAGCTGTTATTTTTTTTGTTTTGTTTTTTTTCTGCTTTTTCAACGTTTCATAACCGTGAAAAGATAGATCATACTAAGGAATTTTCTATTGTAATTGAGATATTGGTAAATTCATGATTTGCATGAGAAAAATTTTACACTAATTTTGTGGGCCCTACTCTTTTCTTGGAATAGCTTGTACGAGGTGTTCGTTAATTAAAACGGACGGAATAAACCAAAGTGAACGGCGCGAGAGTAGCGGTGGACTGGAAACCTCTCTACTGCTATCGCGCCGTTAATTAATATAGCGCTTGGTTTTACAAACCGAACGCCTAGGAAATACTAAATTTGGAGTATATTGCGGCAGGAACTAGTAATCTGATTGTAAATTATTCTTTTCCTTTAAAAAAAATGAGTTTTTCTAAAGCTTAGCAATAAATTTTTGGAACTTTTTTTTTGAAGAAAGAAATTTTGGATTCCAGCTTTGTTTTGCTGCCGAATGGTTTCATAGCACATATAGGTTCATAGGTACACGTTTCATATAATGCCAAATTTAAATGCTAAAAAACATTGCAATAGTTTCTGTACAATATGTTTCATAATCATTTTTTTAATGAATATGTTACCGTCAGGAGTATGGTGCAAAAGGGACAAGGCGCTATTGTACGTAGAGTTTAAATGCTGTATAATTTTGGTTCCTCTCTCTACTTTCGTCATTTCATAAAATTGGGAACAGACTCTGCATTTCGTTGTAATGGAAGACTCGTGAATTAAAAACTCTCTCGCTTTCTCACAACATCTAATCCAGTGTGGAATCATGATTACGCCGGTGAGCCGATAGGCGTAAATTCCATTGATCCTGGCGTCAATAACGAAGGATAAAGATTTCCCGGGAAAAGTAACCCATGGAAGACACTTTTTTTTTTTATCTCGATCGCTCATTGGAGCGTTGAGGAGGGCGGCACAGTAATGGGCAAAGTTGCAAAAAGGCAAAGGCAAAACCCGCGGCAAAAATGGAAAAACTGTGAAATGTGCTGAGGAGCAAGACAACGAATCGACAGACAGCTTTCAAAATTATATTAATTAAAATTAAAATTATGGTCACTCACGGGAGTTAAAGGGAAAATACGGTGCCGCTTTAGACAGGTTCTGCTGTATTTTCAATTGAATTCTTTTGTTCACCAAAGTGTGAATGGCCAACTTTAACATGTCATGTCACCATAATGACTCGCGATATATTTTTGGCGCTCTCTGATTTCAGCCGCATAAACATCTCCTGATTTCAGTGGCACGTCATTCTATGCGAACAAAAGTAAAAAAAAGGAAATACATAACAAGATAAGTTTAATAATTTTAGCCCATTTTTATTTGCTTTTTCTTTTAAGTGACTTAAAAACTAGGTTCCATAGGATGCGTCTGTCAATTATTTTAATTGTGTATTTCAAATAATTAAACGGTACACGTGATCTGAAAGACCCTTCGTTGCAGAAACATATCATGACAAAACCACTACATTAGAAAAAATTAGTTTTATTGTTTGGATTAATATTTCAGCAGGAGCCTTACACCCTGATCATTGTGAATTTAAAGAAATTGAGTAAAAATATAAACAAAGAAAATGCCGCTTAAAAGCGTAAAAATCAAGAGAAATAAGATAATCACCTATGCTACGAAAATGTAACAACTAAAGCTTGAGAAAGCATAATAAGTGCCCCTAATATCAAATGGTGTGGTACTAAATCACCAAACCCTATGGTATTAACATTCTTAGTAACCTTAATGTTGCCGGGAAAGCTGTCCTTGAATTTTTGGCAGTTCTAAAAGCGAAAGACCACTGACCGGTAGACAGTCTGCATTTGGTAGACGTAAGCTATGACTATTTCAAGTGTTCCTCTTGCTAATTCTGAAATGATTGGTGAATTTTGTAGTTCAGCCGCTTGGTGCTAGAATGGACCATCACAACGTTATTAAAGAAAATTTTTTCCTTGTACATGTACATTAGGTATTCTGATATTTGTTTTAATGCAATGCGAACCTCGCTCCTTTTTTAAAATCAAAATCAGGCTCCAAGAACCTCAAGTTAATCATTGAATCCCCCTGAAATCCTGGAACTTAATAGCAGAAAACAAAATAATGTGTTATTTACTTTCGAATACCTCAAAAAGGTCTTCCGCTTACATTTATGACGACGTTGATGATCTATGGCACCATTGGGCTCAATTGTACACTGAAGTGTTGGACAAACACGCACCAATAAAGAAAAAACGGGTCAGAGGTGATCAGTTGCCATGGATAACTCCATTAATTCAACGCGAAATCTCGCGTCGTAATCGACTGTTTAAGAAACATGCAAAGAGCCCAACAACAACCTCTTGGGAGGAATTCAAGAAACAGAGAAACAAGGTCACATCCCTGAAACGAAAAGGGTTGAAGGCGTTCTGCATGGAGGCATCGTCAAACACTAAAGATCATGGTGAGTTTTGGAATAAGTTAAGACCTTTGTTGCCAAGCAAAGAAAAGAAGCAATCAAAGATAATTCTGATTGAGAATGAGCGTGTAATTACCGATTCATTAATGGTGGCTGAAATGTTTAACAACTACTTTTGCGAGGTGTCCAGGAGTGATGGTGACAGTAAGGAAATGGTTGAGTTTGTTGATCATCCTAGCGTTAAAGTCATTGCTGAGAAAACTTGTGATGATGTTTTTGACCTCGTCCCAGTTGATGTTGGCTACATAAAGAAAATTTTGGATTCTCTTGACCCTCGCAAGGCTGTTGGGTGCGATAAGATATCTCAGAGGCTACTTCGTTTATCCTCACCTATTATTGCCGAGCCGGTTACCCGATTAATCAATTATTTTATCACCAACCGTCAATGGCCAATAGTTTGGAAAAGCAGCGACGTTGTTCCTGTTTTCAAGAAGGAAAGTATGACAGATAAGACCTGCTATCGTCCAGTCTCTGTTCTGACTTCCTTATCGAAATTATATGAGAAGGTATTGTTCGATCAAATCTATGAAGCCTTTCATTGGCGACTCTCACCGAACCTGTCTGGCTTTCTCAAGGGTCACTCGTGTTGCACGGCCTTATTGAAATTGACTGAAGATTGGAGAGCCTGTCTTGACAGAAGAGAAGCTGTTGCAGCGGTGGCTATCGACCTAAGTAAAGCTTTTGACTCTGTTTGTCACCCGCTTCTCCTAGCTAAATTAAAGGCATATGGTTTTACGCATGATGCGCTGGAAACTATGACCGCTTACCTTACTGGACGAAGACAGAGAGTCAAACTTGACGGTGTATATTCTTCATGGAGAACCGTTAAAACTGGTTTACCACAGGGGTCCCTGTTGGGTCCTCTCCTATTTAATTTGTATGTTAATGATCTTAATTATTTTATTACTAGTACGTCCTTGAGGCTATATGCTGACGACACTACTCATTACGCCTCTGATGTCTCACCAACAGTATTGCAGTATATAATTAACTCTGATCTGAGCGTTCTATCGAGATGGTTCTCAATGAATTTTTTACAGATTAATGCCGCCAAAACGCAAGCTATCGCTATTGGCCCGTCTTCATACCAATATGATTTCCATCTTAATGATTCTAATGTCCATACAAAGGACACACTCAAAATCCTTGGGGTGGTCCTAGATAGCAAATTAACATTTAAAGCGCACATAAAGCAACAGCTGAATAAGGGATGCGCAAAGGCTTCGGCTTTGCGGAGAATACGTAAGTTTATTTCAAAGGACGTGTTAGTTCGTTTATATAAGGCCTATGTCCTCCCTCATCTTGAGTACTGCAGTCCCCTTTTACTGGGAGTAGGTAACGCGGAGACTACAAAAATAGAGACAACTAATTACTTTATATTAAGAACTATATTAGGCTTCTCGAAGTCTGTGTCATACGACTTCCTCCTCAAGTTGGCCGACATTAAGTCTTTGGAGAATCGTAGGCAATTCCAATCGTTGGTTATGTTATATAAGTGCTTGTATGATAAGGGGGCTCCTTATATAAGTGATTTTTTTCATTTTAAAAATGTACCGTATAGTTTACGCGGGCTCAGTACAAGGCTAGATTTACCTCCTTTTAATCTTGAGTTTTTACATCGGTCTTTTTCATTTTTAGCTAGTAAACTTTGGAATGCGCTACCCCCTAGACTCAGAGAATCTCAAGATATTGCTTCATTTAAGCGTTCTCTTAAAGCCCACATGGCTTAATGGTAGTGATTGTAAATATCGTTATTGTTGTTAATATTGTTAATATTGTAACTTCTAATTGATAGCTCTTGTCCATGATTCTCGATCCTGTTTTTAGCTTTTTAATAGATTTACTTACTATTTGTATTCTTACAGAAATTATGCTTTATTTCTAATTGTACATACACGTACACGTTTTAACGAGAACTTCTGTACTCCTAGGTGTCACGTGTTTAAATAAAGGATTGATTGATTGATTGAAGACCTGCAACTTCTTCATCGCTAACGTTTCCAACTTCAAGAACACATGAAAGTGGGAAATGATGATTTTTTTCCCAGATGAACGAGGCCAATTATGACCAATCTTAACCCCCTTACTTTCTGGGATAAGCACTAAAGCACAAATACAGCAGAGTATGAGTATTTTTAACGAGAAGACTCTTGAAAACTAGTGATAACTTTCTGAAATAGCATCGAATTAGTCTGTGCTGCAGTATCGGAGGTAACATCCGGGTGTGCCAGTTATGTAGTAAACATAGTAACCGTCGCAATTTATCACTTTGACGGAACTTGACCAGTGGCAACAGTCTGATACCCAGTGGAAGCAAACTGTCCCGTTTACCTGACCATCAGCCACTGTGGGATGAGCACCATTTAGCCAACCGGATGCGTGAGTGTTACATTGGTTTTTAGGTGGACATGAAGTGGGCATTCTTGTACCTGCTGCTCCTTCCAGACGGTACCAACCCTTGAGTCCATCGTCGCAAGTCGTGTTTTGGTTCGTGTAATTTATCCTTCTATCTGCTCCTGTCAGACTTTGATAGTTTTGACATTCTGAAATGGGCAGAGAAGAAATGATTTAAGAAATTCAAAAACAGAAAAATAAGCTTTCGAAATGCAATTTATTTATCTAGACAAGCTGGCCCAATTCAGCTTAGGGCTGGTTGAAATGAGGACCTGTATAAACGATACCAAGACCAGACCACTACACCAGGAGCAACGTTCATTCCCCTTTGAGAGAGGTGCGAGGGCTCTGTAACGTTCCCTTCTAACCAATACAGAACAAAGGTTCATTGTCTTTATCCGAGAATAGAAGAATGTCCAACCATTTGCACATATCATACACTGTTGGTTTTTTTTATTTTAGCAGTTATTTTAGTACCCTAAGTGTTAGTAAGGTCTGATGCTTGAGCCCTTGACCTCCTGCACAATAGTACGGCGGTCAACAATATGACCTAACCATTACAATACAGATCGGACCCGCAAATGTATTACCTCCGATGTATTTCATTGTGCAGTAATTCTGCCGGTTGTTATCTCAGAAAAAAAACATAATGCTAATTTCTACCCAAACTAGGTCAATAATTGATTTATTTCATGGCGAAATGGTTACTGAAATAACTGCACCCACGTAAATTCACGAAACTCGTCAAAGCCTTCTCTTTTTTTGACGTTTTATCCTTACTGTTATAAGTTTCGGTTCCTCTTAGATTAAAGTGGGAAACCTCTTAAACAGAAGAACGCACGATTCGCTACATCTCACCTCACTTGCACATCTAACTGGATTAAAACTTCTAGGTAAAAAAGGTTCTATTTTGTGCTAGTTGCTTGATTACCTTCTGTGTAATTATTTATAACTACCCAACGGCGAGCTCCTGCCTAAGAGAATATAGTTACTGGAACAGCTGTAGGATTTTACACCAAGAAATAAGATACGAAATTCAGATTTCGAAGACCTGAGGCACTAACCTGACGGGCTCGCAAAGTTGCAAGATCTTCCATCCCCTACGTACGGATGGTGACATGAGCAGGTGAAGGACCCCACAGTATTGGTACATAAAGCCAAATCATGGCAGTCGTGCTCGCTGCTGACACATTCATCAATATCTGTTGATGTAAATTGGCGGGTTGACACAGGTAATAAATGAGAAAGGAATAGTAAGAGACTTGCAGGATTTTTATATTGGCTATGAATGCGAAGGATGATAAATTGATCCAGAGATGTCGAAACTTGCTTGACGAAAGACCAAATTTGACTTGTTATTGAGCATTTGCGGTGTAAATATGTAAGCTCAGTAATAAAACCTCTTCTACCTTGGCAAGTATGTTCATCTCTAGAAAAACCTTTTTTGCAAGAACAACGATACGATCCCAGAGTGTTTTTGCAGTCCGCGTTCTCATCACAAATACGAATGGAGGTATTGCATTCGTCAGCATCTGTTAAAAAATAAGAAAATCATTTAAAACTAAAAATATTCATTGATCGTGAAGCACTTTTATTCGGAAACTTATTATTTTTGTCTTTATGTTCTTTTCATATCTCTTATTTTGAATTGCTAAAATGAATATTCCTTTAATTTCAGTTTTCCTATCGCGAATCCTATGTTAGTTCACTCTGGTTTCAACTTGGAAAATAAAGAAGCTTTAGCAGATAGTTATTTTAAAGGAATCAAACATCTCTCGGAGTGCATTTTGAACCTGAAATCTCAAGAACTTAGGTAACCTTAGTTGCTGTTTTTCTCTCTATGTATGATGTTTTTGATAACCCGCCTACTGTTACCTTTATAAGGGCTGATACTAGTTTCGTGACAGGGCCTTTGACGGTCAATTTTGGTTATAGTTACACGGTAGGACCTGGGTACGAGGTTAGGCTGATAAAGAAGTTCCTTGCTAGTTCGGAACTAGTCACCTCAAGTGTGGAAGCGCTGAAGAGTGATATGAAAATAAATGAGGGGAAAAGTTTATGACGTTTTGGGCAAATTCCAACCTTTCTTCAACATAGTTACAGTCTCTCAGGACAACTCTCACCAAGACGATCAGACTAACGATCGATTATCCCTAGCACAAAGGCTCACAAAGGCTTCTGCTTTACTGTCTTACTCTACCTTCTGTTTTCATGTCACAGTGAGTCAACACAGGAGTGTCCAATATGATGAAATTCAACCAGTATTTGCCGCTGACCGCTTTTCCACCTTCACTCGCCTTGATTTCCTTACACGAGTCTGCAGGCAGTTCTGGAATGGCACCGAGAATAGCTAGAAAAAAAAAGAGTAAAAGAAACACTATGTCTTTCCCTTTAGGACAGTTGGCCAAATCATTTTGCCTTAACGCTCACCTCTCTTCGTATCTCGTCTGAAGTAATATCTCTCAAAGCTGGGTACAAAATCTTCAGGTCTGGCCTCCTTTGTGCGGTTACTCAGCTCACACTTGTCTTGGGTGAACACATAGTTTAAGCTTTGGCATCTGACGTCACGATAACATTCTCGCAAACACTCATCACCGAATGCTGCTCCGATGATTGTTTTAAAAATGTGTTTTTGAAGCATCTTACCCAAGATGGAGACTTCACGTGTATCAAGGTGGTACTGAGCAACAACTGAGTGAAACGATACCAACATGAAGAGGAGAACTGGTAAATGAAAGAACTCTTGGACTCCCATTGTGGTTATATAATCTCACCTGAGATGAAATCATGAAGTTTGAGAGCACAGTGATATACAAATATGTGGCCGTCCACAGAAAAACAGGGAATACGTAGTATACGGTACCTGCAGAGGCACTTATTTTTTGGCCGTTTACCAAGCAGTATGACATATCGCACACACACATGACTAGGGGTATGTCATGGATGCTACAAATTTGAGGCTTGATGTGAAAAGGCACGAGTCGATAGGACACGGATACTAAAACAGTCCCATTACGCGTTCGTCTATGGCTTAATCAAAAGTTTTACTTATTTTTTCTAATAAGAAGTTGTCAATGCTTTTTAAATGCAATCCCTTAATGGCAGAAACAGTTTTAACTAAGTACGGCGAGCGGTCGTCGTCCCTATGCATGCATGCAAAAAAAGAAAAAACACAGACAACTAAATATAAAGTATCAGACTTCTTTAAGACTCATTCCCTAACGTCTTAGCAGCTCTTTATTCCGATCTAAACATTCACGCTAATCTTTAAAAATAGCACACAATTCGCCGCCCATGATAAAGTTTATGAAAATTTCCCAAAATGATTTCGTTAGTTTAGCTCTGTCCTATCATAATGATAACAGAACCATAAGGTACTTCTCCTATGCTATGAACTTGCCTGAGTGAGTATCGCAGTCTTCCTTCACTTTTCAAAATCGATAAAGAGATCTTTGGAAACAAATTGACTTCAAATGGAACTTAACTAGTATTGAAAGAAGAACTTTACAGACCTCAACATGCTTAAATGATAAAATTATGAAACCTGATGCTCTTTTTTAAACTTCTTTTAATGCCACCTGCAGACTTCCTTTGTAAAAATTTTGGCTGAGATCCACGCAGAATTTCCTTTTTCTTCGAAATTCAAAATATGATATCGCTGTTATAATGCAAGTAAATGACAACGAAACTCTTAGCTTTATCTAATAGAAACATTTTTCAAAATTCGTTGGCTTTTCAAAACTCGTTCCTTCTTATCTTTCGTCATGACACAGCTATAATATTGTTCTTGTTAGGAATAGGGCAGAACTGCAAACGTATTTTTTAGTAGTTCATGACATTAAGGCCGAACACATTTTGGTCCTTAAGTCATGAACGACAGCTGTCTCTAAAGAACTCGTGGACTCCCATTGTAGTTATATAAACTCACCTGAAATGAAATTATAAAGTTTGAGAGCACAAATATGAGGATATCCACAGAAAAACAGGAAATACGATGACTGCAGAGGCACTTATTGTTCAGCTGTTTTCCAAGCAGTATGACATATCGCAAACACGCATGACGAGGGATATGTCATGCATGCGACAAATAAGCTTGGTGTGAAAAAGCAAGCGTTAGATACGGCAAGAGTCGATAAGACACGGGTACTATAAAAGTCCCATTGCACGTTTGTCTATGGCTTAATCAAAAGTTTTACTTATTTTCTTCCAATACGAAGTTTTCAAAGCTTTTTGAATGCAATTCCTCAAAGGCAGAAGTAGTTTGTACTAAGTACATCGAACGGTCGTCGTCCCGATGCACGCAAAAAAAAAAAAAAGCGACATCTAAATACTAAGTAACATACTCCTCTAAGACTCATTCTCTAACGTATTAGCCACTCTTTTTCCTGAACCAAGCATTTACGCTATACTTTTAAAATAGCACACAGTTCACCGCCCCTGACAACGCGTATTAAAAATTTCCCAAAATGATATCTTTGGTTTAGCTCTATCCTATCATGATGATAACAGAACCATAAGGTACTTCTCCTATGCTATGCTACTTACTGAGTGAGTATCGCAGTCTTCCTTCACTTCTCAAAATCGACAAAGAGATCTTTGGAAACAAATTGACTTTAGATTGAACTTGACTTAGATTGAAAGAGGAACTTTACGGACCCCAACATGCTTAAATGATGAAACTATGAAACACAATGCTCTTTTCACTGGGATACCTGTGGTAGCCCAGTCATAAAATGCCTTTGTTTTTTTGTCGTTTTTTTTTTTTTTTTTTTTTTTTCCTCCGCCACAAAATGGAAAAATTGCGCAATAGTACCCAGAGGTCATTGGGCCCTCAACACCATGACAACTAACTGTGATCCAATGAGGTGTTCACATGCTGATCACGCGTGCTATCTTGATGATGATTGACGTTGTCATGCACGGACAGGGCCGGGTCACATGACGAACACGAGATTTTTGCCCATAAAACTCTTTTGTCAGTCGATTTGTATTTCAATGTGTTTGGATTACGATCATCTGGAGCATTATGGCGCAAACGCTCAAAATACTTATAGACGCATACACAAGTCGTATTGTTCGCAGCCAATCCACACAAAAAGGTGTTATTGAGCGGTAATTTTGGAACGGACTGAATCGCGAACGCTTGAAAGCCATGAAAGCATTGAATGCCTTGTATGTCTTGTATGCTAAGTATGCCAATGTCTTAGCTGAAAACGTTAACTCGTTGTAAAAAGCAAAATCTGAAATCTGAAACCAAACTGCATATACTCTATGCAATCTATTGAACAACACTACTACCGTGAGACTGAAGAACAAAATTCAAATGGATGCAAACTGCTTGTGAAGAAAGACGCCATGTTGGATTCACTTGATGCCAGGGAACGTAGCTACGATAACAGTGCGAATGGTATTAATTTCACGATCAGAAAGGTGAATCTTATGTTTTTTTTCATTGTAGTTGTATGGATATTCTTTTTTAATAAATACATGATCCAAAATCCCGTGTTTTTTGTGGATAATGTTATTATGTTAAGTATTGTTTACGCAACTGTCTTGTCACAGGCGACCCAAGGTCACGTCTCGAGAAAGAGCCAACGATTAAGTCACGCGTTGTGTGACTCAGAGTAAGTTATGCTAGGAACCGTTGAAAATTTGAACACGTTATAAGGAATAGGGAACGAAATATGGTCGATTTACAACAATAAATATTTCGAAATATGAAGATTTTTCTCGTAAAATCAATAAAACTTACTCATACCCTGTGTATCCGTTGTAGTTTCTGGCGATTGTTGCCGTTTTAAGCTTGCTTTACCATCACTATTATTCACGTCATCTACTTTTATTACATTGGTAAAATCTGTACAGACATCACACCAACCAACTATGTTGAAGGCTTGAAATTATATTGCGATCGATTTTCATCAAGAAATGGGCCAGGAATTTTCCGCAATAGTGCAAATAATCGTGAAGGCTGATCGCGGAAAAGTGATTGCGTGACGCTCGGTAAGCTGTAAGATGACATGTTATTATATACCAGACCTTAAAACTCTTCAGATTCTCAGTCTGCATTTTGTACCCACTCTGCAGTCTATATTTTGTATCCGGTCTGCAGTCTGCTGTCTACATTTTGTACTAACAGGTATCCGTGGCACCAATACAGTTTATTTTTGGTTACATTTATTCGCACAACATACATAACCTACCACAAAATACCTGTGTGTGAGGTAATTCGACATTTTCATTCTTTCTCGCGTTAATAATCTTCTTTCCTTTTTTAAGAATGTAGACCGCTTACAATGTTTCAAGTAATCCACCCACCCTACAAAAAATAACTCTTGCATGCATAGCATGCCTATGTTTTGAGACAGGTGTATGCCCTTGGCCAGACTTGAGCTCACTATTTCAGTATACTAGTCCGACACGCGTAGTATCACTACACTTGATTCCACGGATCCAGTACCATCCAGGTATCCCAGTTACCCTGCTCACATGGTCTAGTTGAAACTTCCTTTAATACCACCTAGCACCTGCAGACTTTCTTTGAAAACATTCTGGCTGAGATCCTCGCAGAATTTCCGTCTTCTTGGAAATTCAAAATACGACATCGTTGTCATAATGTAAGTAAATAGCAACGAAACTCTTTGTTTTATCTAAAATAAACACATTTTTTCAGAATTCTTTGGCTTTTCTAAACTCTCTTCTTATAATCGTTCGTTTGACGCAGCTATAATATTGTTCTTGTTAGGAATAGGGCAGAACTGTGAACGTGTTTTTCGTTAGATGATGACATTAAGGCTGAACGTATTTTGGTCCTTACGTCATGAACGAAAGCTAAATAATTTCCCGTCCAACCCGACCTAAAAGTATTTTATAGTATGATTGCTGCTTTTTCTCTTGATTCCTCATACTTGTTTATGCGCTAGTAGTGTTATTGACCTCCTGTGTTCATTTTTATATCAGAATGTGAGACCTCAAATAATTTTTGTCTCTAAATTTCACTTTGACAAGAGGCAACTCTTTGCAATCACTTTTCTTGAGAGTTCTGTCTTTATGTTTTGGTTTTTTTTCTTGCTCTTCAGTGCAGTCGCTGCTGAGACCTAAAAACCATGGCTGATCTCAGAAAGGAGCGAGTTTAAGAGATAACTGAAGTTTTTATCAATACAGTCCAACATTATCAAACCAGCGGGCGCCGGTGAAGCTTATTAGCATCCTAATTAGAGTTGAAATTTTGAAAGCACAGTGATACAAATATGTGGCCGTCTACAGAACACCAGGGAATACGATAACTGCAGAGCCACTTCTTATTTGGCTTTATTCCAAGTGGTATGACATATCGCACTCACACGACAAGCGATATGACATGCCTACGACAAATTTAAAGCTTGATGTGAAAAGGCGTGCATGAGATATGGCACGGGTCCATGAGACACGGAAATAGAAGTGTCAGAGCTTCTTAAATGCAATTCCTCATGGCAGAAACAGTTTTTACTTAGTACAAAGAACGGTCGTCGTCCCAAGGCACGCAAACTGGAAACAGACATCTAAATAACAAAGGAACCGAATTCTTTAAGACCCATTCCCTAATGTATTAGTAGCTCTTTCTTCTGATTCAAACATTTTCGCTATACTTTTAAAATAGCACACAGCTCGCCGCCCCTGAAAACGCTGATAAAAATTTCCCAAAATGATATTGTTGGTTTTGCTTCATCTTATCATAATGATAACAAACCATAAGGTACTTCTACTATGCTGTGAACCTGCCTAAATGAGTATCGCAGTCTTCCTTTCCTTTTCAAGATCGAAAAACTGATCGTTGGGAGAGAAATGACTTTGAAACTAAGCCTGCGTTGAAATTGGAACTTTATACGGGCCAGAACGTGCGCAAGTGGTGTCACTATGTAACAGGATGCTTTATCTCAAACGTTTTAATGCCACCAGCGGACTTTTTAAGACCTATTTTGGCCGAAAGTCAAAACATGATATCGTCGTTAATTATTATAAATGTAAATAAACGGCAGCGAAACTCTTAGTTATATATTCTGAGAAAATATCACGGAAAAAATCGGACTTTCATAACTCGTTTCTTTTCATCTGTCACTATAATACAGCTATGAAAGTTTTCTTTTTGACCGCAAAGGAGGGCAAATTTTGGTACCCAGGTCATTATTTAGAGACCGAGAGTGGGTAGATCCTTGGGGCATGATCGACAGAAAAATGAGAATTCAGTTCGGCTCGACCTGATTTAGCCAAAAAGTCCTATAGGTATTTTACTACATGAATTCAATTCTTTATCTTTGTTCCTTATTTTTGCATTTTGCCCAAACCGATGAAGATCATAGTCTGATGTATTGGTAATTGCTTGGGTGATTAGGGTTGGTAATTTTTATGAACTACTATTTCCATGTCAAAATGTGAGACAGATAGGGCAATCTAAAAACCTGGATTCGATTTCCACTTTGACAAAAGGCACGCGCGGTTTTTTTGCAGCGCATTTCTTGAGAGTTTTGCCGTAAATCTTTTGCTTTTTTTTTCTTTTCTTACTCTTAAGTGCAATCACTGATGGAACCTAAAAATCATGGCTCGTGACAAAACGTAGCGTGCTCAAGAGTAAAGTCAAGTGTGAGCTAGTGTATAGTCCAAAATTATCAAACTAGCAGGTGCAACACTTCTCTCAAAAGCGTATGAATAATTTAACAAAAGGAGGTTCTGACATCAGCGAATCATGTTTTGAGAGAGAAATCGCGTATGAGAGCTTCACTTTTTCATGATAGAGCCGTGAGTTAAATCAGGCTTTAAGTCTGTAGTTCATTAATACATTGCTAAACTGGCTTCTTTAGAATATCCCTTGAAATAATTTGACTTGGCCTCCTGAAGAAAGCCTCCGTGGTCAGCCACATAACAAAGGACAAACTAATTTAAAACCATCCAAGATGAAGCCATAGGCTCAACTTCTCATAGTCTTCTTGTGATATATATTAAATAAAATTAATCTTTTAGAAAGAACTTTTGTACTTACCCAAGACCGTTCCCCGTAACTGGCAACTTCAGGTCATCATCGTTTTTTCCGTTGTGTGAGTCGAGTTTCTGTCAGCTGAATTAAACGCAAACTTCTGGCTAATTTTTTTAGTTGATTACACTAAATTATACTGTCATGCAAATTATTGACGTCTGGTCTCTCCGCCAAAATTAAGTCGCAGTATGAATTTTTAGTAAAGTAAAACAGACATAGCAGGTATATTCTTCATTGCGTATTAAATAACTACTGTTTGATCAACACCAGAGAATCCTCTATGTGAGACTAAGTGGAAGTGGAAAAAAATAATTAATTTGCATATAATTAAAATCTTTTTTTCCACGATGGGGTAGCTTTGGATCGCGACGTCTCGATCGCTAGCATCTGACCGCATGGTTTTTCCGCACGGTCAAAGAGCACAACTGCAGGCGTATCCATTCGACCTTATCACCTGAAGAAGGATTGTAGCATACGCATTCGATTCACATCGTATACAACTGTGTTCAACACGATTAATAACTCCAACTTATTTAAAACAATAATGATATGTTTCGTTTAATTAAACGCGCGCATAATAGTTCACAACAATTTTCCTTTTAGCTGTTTCCTCCTACAGGGATGGTTCAATAGCTGATAGCTAATAACAATGTTTTTGTTATCAACCACCCGCTTCAGACTACCCCGTGGGTTTTTCGCGATGTGTTAAGGAAATATTCTAGACTAAAGGAGAGCATATAAATTGTGATAAGTATCGAGGAAGTTCAAATATCTTGTCAGAAAGAAAATCTAAAAACTACGCCATCGATGTTTATTTCCTGTCGTTTTTTAAATGTAAACGTAGCGGTTTTCCCTATTGCAGTCTGGTACTTGGGTTTTTTTTGCGTTTTTCTGAGACCAACGATTCCAAATTTGAATTTTGGATGAACCCGAAGAAATTTTGGAGCGGAAATGAGACACACTGCTGAGGTTTCTCTCCGTTTATCCGCACTATTATAAAGTACATAGTTTCAACTTGTCAGAGCACATGTTTCATCTAAACTTTGAGCAAAAAAAGACTTTTTCCGTATTTACCTAGCCTTATCTAAATACAAAGTCGGCTGGCGAACCCATGACAAATCTCCCATCCCTCCCCCCCTTATCAAATTATGGCTGAAAAGTCTAGGAAATAAAATTTTCTAACAGTGTTTACATACTCCCACCCAAACAAACCAATCAACCTGATTAATGGGGAAAAAATGATAAAAAGGTGTTTTTAACGACCGATAACGGCCAAGCCGAGTATGTGGTTTATTACGTCCGCTGGTCGTAATCCAGTATCACCTGAATATAGTTAGCCCCTCCGCGTCCGAACGATAGCTTATCGCCAATCGCTCTGACGAAGGGCTGACGCTCGAAACGTTAGCTTTGCTACTCTTTTGTGGTGGCCAATTTACGTTACTAAATTATAAACTGGCGCGGAGCAGTGTCAATGATTGAAAATATATTTAATTTTTCACCCACGAAGAGAATGAAATATGGCGTCATATTTTTTTGAAGCTCTCCCCCACCCCCCCCCCCCCCCCCCCCCCCCCGAGTGGGTAAAAGTTTTTGTGTGGTGGAAAATGAGTTACATTTGTTTAGTGTAAAGTATTATTTTATCGTCAAAGGCTTCGCTTCAACCGTCGTCAAGGCTTTGGGTATGTCTTCAACGGCCCTTTGAAACGGTCTCCATAACAGGCGCTCCGTGAAATTCCCTGCAGCTTTCATGAAGTCTTCAGTGAACGAGAGGTTACTTTCCCACTGGCGGGCGCCTTCCCTCCATTCGAGACATTGTTTAGCAGACATCGTCGATCTTGTTTGTTTGGTCGTAGTTGGTTGATCTCACAGCGTCATAAGCTGTCGGCGGAACCACTGGAATAGGAAATCGATCCTGTGAACTTCTTTTTTCAAGCATGTCGAGTCAGATTCGACTGAAGAAGGTGAGAATTGAAACTGAACGTTCTAATGGACTCCTTATTCTCGTATATACCTCTGTACTTTGTCTTTAAAAGCGGATATTTCTTAAAACAGTAAGATGATACCAGATACAGCACGAGATAAAGCACGAGATCCAGCAACCGTTTTTTTTTTTTAGATTTAATTCTCCTTCTCTTCTGGAAAAGTTTAATGATTTGCTACCTTAATGCATGTAAATGTACTTCTTACAGAAAAGAGAAGCTGTTCGTAGGCTTTCACAGGGTTCTGGAGCTCCTGGTTACCCTCGCGATCATCGTTCTGCCTTGTCATTACAAGCTCCTGGGCAGCCACTTCAGAGGAGAAAATTTCCAGGTACAGAGATATTTTACTTCATACATACGCACAAGTGTATGTAAGGTACATATTCTGTTTAATAACATAACACAAAGCTGCATACAAAGAGTGCATATGCGGTATGTACCACTAATTGTAATAATGAACCTCCTAGTGATTATTTAGTGACAAAGATAGTATTGCCTAATTAACTCAAATTAAATTGCTGCTGATGTGTCCTTCTGACTCATACTACTGCATACAAAGCTGCATACAAAGAGTACATTTACCGATGTACCACTAATTGAAATAATGAACCTCCTAGTGATTATCTAGTGACAAAGATATTATTGCCTAATTAACTCAAATGAAGTTGCTGTTGATGTGTCCTTGTGACTCATACTACTGTATCTGTCTTTGTAAAATCTTTACTACTTGTTAACCATGCAAGATAAACACACACAAATCTCTTTTGATTTTGTATTAAGAGTTACCAAAGCCAGTGGCTTGGGATAGCTCAAGCTAAACATAAGATGGGTTGGTAGTTTATAGTAAAATCTTATAAAACTACATGTATTACACCAATCATTTAGAGCAAAGCAAAATAATTAAACAGAACAAGATGATGGATCATGAAAAAGTCAACCTAGAGTATGGTGATAGCCAAAACAAATTTATTTTTATCAAAAGAATTATTTTTTGAAGTAGAGATATCTCATTAGAAGGAGTGGCAGCATGTGTTATACTTTTGTTACACTGTATCGAAATGCGTGACTGGCTGTAACATTAATGTACCTCAGTTTTATGCACATTGTCTAGGGTTAAACATTTTTGAAAGCATTCCTGTCCTAGAGTAGCCAGAGTCTGTTTCTCAGATCTTACAGCTGGACATCTTGTTCGAATTCTTTGAATACTATCCATGTGCTGTGGTTTTTAACAAGTTACTTTCTTTTGATGAACCAATAATTATTGTCCAAATTTTAACCCAACTTGGATGCAATTTAGGGTTGAATTTGGGAATTTTTTACGAAAGTGGGGAAGAGGGTGCAAACTTTGATGTTAAAACACAGAATAAATTTTTTTTTACATCAGAGGCTAATCAAGCTAAGAAATACATGTATTTTGAGATGAGTAAATTTTGAACACTTCAAACTGAGTAATGCGCAACACTGTCATTTCAAGAATTTTGGTCCCAGACAAGTTATAAAAATACATATACCTTCTGGGTGGAGAGAATCCTCCTTTCAGGCAATTACAAGCCTTTTGTAGAATGAGGCACGGCTACATGAATATTCAAATAAAAAAATTCACTGTGTATCTAATTGCTTTCTTTAGGTCAGCACGAGACAAAGAGACAGCATCCAAGTGTGCCAGGTCAAAGACCAGCTAAGAGAAACTATGTTAGTCCACTTGACCACAATCCTGCCACAAGTGATAATGCTGAAGCAAAGGAAATCAAACATACTGAGACAGTAAATTTTGGTTTTGTTGCTACAGCTGCTTCAATGATTACTCCCTCATCTCAATCTATATCTCAGTCTACAATTGCTAAGCCTGATACTTCTTCAGCAGTTTTAGCCAAACCAGTTTTCAGCTCAGGATTTCCAGCATCGGTATCAAATTTTCAACAAAATGCAGGTAAATGATTTATTTAACCCTTTCACTCCCACAAGTGATCAAGACAGAATTTCTCCTTACAATATCAATACAATATCAAGCAGGCAGGTGATGAGAATAGAGAAGAATATCAATCATGGGATTATTAGTTGATCCAATACCAAATTCTCTGAACTAACATCATAAGAATTGTATGGCAGATAGTAAGGAGAATTACTAAATAGATCTTGTGAGTGAAAGGGTTAATCCCATTCCAGTCCCTTTTACTCTACATAAGATAATTATAATTCAGGGTTTGAAAGAGAGGAACCCTTTTCCCTCAGTTCTTCTCCTCTTTTTTATTTGTGAAGATGAAATCCAAGCCCCAGCCTATTTAAATCTTAACCTTTAACCCTCTAACCCCTTTGAGTGACCAGCATTTAAATTCTCCTTAATATAATACAGCTGAATTGAACATTAAGATCATGCGAATACAGAAAAAGATCACCAACCTAAGAAGCTGTGATTGTTAAATGAATTCTCCTTGTCAGTACCAAAGTAAATGTAAAGAGAAGAGTATAGAGAAAATGGACACTGATGTCAGGGTGTAAAGGGTTAACTTGTAATAGTGATCAGCATTTAATTTCTCTCCACAATATCACCCCAGAATCAAACATTGAGGTCCTAAGCATCAAGGAAATGATCACCAACTTAGGAAGCTCTTGATTGTTAAACACAATTCTTTTTATTTCCAACAAAGTTTGTAAGGATGTCAATCTATCATGAAATGTATAGAGAACAGTATGGAGAATATGCATACTGATGTTTGGGTGTCAAGAGTTAACCCTTTAACTCCCAAGATCTCATTTAGTAACTCTCCTTACTGTCTGCCATATAGTTCTTGTGATGTTAGTTTGGAGAATTTGGTAATGGATTAACTAATCATCCCTTAATTAAGATTTTTCTTTATTCTCATCACTTGTCTACTTGATATTGTATTAATATTGTAAGGAGAAGTTCTGTCTTGGTCACTCATGGGAGTTAATGGGTTAAGGTTACAACCTAACACAACAAAATGTACCAAAATATAAAAATATTTTACTATGTATATCAAACATGAGCATAATTAAACAATGAAGTTGCCTTTTATTTTTATTCCCTTTCAATTCATTTAATTTCAGATTTTCTTGATCTTAACCCTTTAACTCCAGCAGTGTGGAGAATACATATTTACTGATGTTAGGGTGTAAAGTATTGAACATTCATGTAAATGTAAAATTGACAAAAATTATTTTTTCAAGACTGATGTTTTTTTTCTTTGCATAATTACAGTTCAGTCTTCAGGGGAAGCTAGTACCTCCATCATATCTACAGCTAGTAGTGGTTTTGCAACAGGATTTGGCATGAGTCAAACTAATGCAGATGCTTTTGCAATCTCATCTGGAAATGTTTTTGTGCAAAGCTCTCAACCAGCATCATCTTTGTTTGGGCAATCACAGACCTCAAACCCTGTCTCCAGCTCAGGCTTTCAAAGTAACAATTCATTGGCTTTGGATTCATCATCAGCAAACACCAGCTCAAGTATTCTTTCTAATCTTGTTGCTTCTGTAAAGGAGCCATCATCTAACTTAACATTCAGTGGTTTTAAAAACTTAGGACCTTCTTCTTCAGCAGAAGTCTCATCAAGTAGTGTTTTTGGCACCAAAAGTGGAAGTGAAACAGTGAAAAGCAGTGATTCAACTCCTTTAACTTTTGGAGCATTGGCTGCTCCATCTCTCCAGGTTAAATCTACTGCAGTCTCAAAACCTCTATTTGCAGTAGCATCTCCGGCCAAGTCAAATACATTTGGTGTGGCTGCTACAGTTAAACCACAGACAAGAATTTTTGGTCAGTCCTTAACTGCAGTAAAAGGGCAACAGCTAGCAAAGGAAAACAAGGAAAAAGTTACAGAAGATAAATTGCAAACTGTGGATATTTCCCTTCTGAAGACATTGGTAATCAGGGATATTCCTGAGTCTTACAACAAGAATGCATGGCTGAAGAGGTTCTATTCACAATTTGGAGTGGTTTCAAAGGTCCTGTGCACTGCAGTCAAGAGGAGTGCAACTGTGACATTTACAACTCATGTAAGTATGTGGTACAGTGTACACTTTATTTGTCATAAGGCAGTCGGCAAGAGCTGGTAGACAGCTAAATGGTTAGCTACAATGAGAGGAAAAAGTAGTTGGCATCATGCTCTCCTTTGTAGGTGATTGACTTAGAAAGGGGAGTTGACCTCCACTCAACATAGCAAAACAGAAATCTTGTACTTCATCTCTTATAACTTACAGTACCGCTCGCGTATACGTTAACTGCGCAGACAAATTTAATGCGCTCCGACGCAGGGTAGTCAGACCCGTATATACGATTTTTTTGCGCGCACGGTCGAAAAAATGCGCGGTTCACGTGTTTTTGTTATTCAGTGCTATAAGTTTCTTTTGTATTTCATTGTTGTGTGAAACAAAAGTCTTCAAGGCTTGAAAAAGCGGCGAGAAGGCAACGGAAAATTTACACAGTGAAAAAAAGCTATCATGTTACACTCGCGCAAGTCGCGTCGCTTCGCGAATTTTTCGCATAACGAGCAGTAGCAGTAGATTTGCTTGATTTGAGTTGTTGATGAATCAGCTGGGGAAGGAAAATGTCACTTACTTGAGGCATCCAAACACGAGTTTCACTGAGCAAGTAACGAAAAAATACTCACTAATATACTTCTCAACTATTCATTGCAATCAGCACTCCCTGAGATGTTTACGTCGCGGAATGTAAACAATTTGGTGTTTGCATCGCAGGTTATGATTTCTTCGAAACTTCAAACCTACCTCGATCATCTTCGGTGAGGATCAGAAGGAAAATATACTTTTTAAGAGTGTGAATGGTGTTCTGTTTTATTCATTGCAATCGGCGCCCGCTTCAGTGTTTACTCACCGGAATGTAGACAGTTTCATTTCGCATCGCTTGTGATGTTTTGTTTGATTGCGGAGCGCATCATATTACAACGATGAAAGGTCAAGTTTTAGTAAATCGTGCAATTAGCCACTTCCGGAAAGTTATTCCTGCCGTAGTCCAACGTGAAGGAAGAGCGTCGGGATACTAAAAGCTTCCATAATAAACAAACGGCTCCTTTAGGAGCCACCAATTTGACAAAAGTCTCCGATTACCGTGTTGAACTACACAAGTTCGATTATTGCCGTCTTGATGTTTTGCCAAATTACACGCGCCGGCGAGTCTAAATTAAATTTGAACTACATGCAGTTAATTTTTCTGTTCCATTTTTTCGAGCAATTTGGTGAACATTGATCGATGATTCGACAAATATCGAAATAAAAAGCGAATCTGGTTTCTCATAAAAAAAAATTGCATACGAGTTAGAGCAAGACGCAGTCGTGACAAGTAATCATACTATAACACAACACCATTAAAATAAGAGAGTAGCACTTATTAGTTTTTGTATAAATGGCGAGATGAAGGAACCAGTTTTTGAGAAAAGCATGTTCACCGATGGCAAAAGCTATGAAATAAGCATTCGTGCATGGGTTTGCATTCCGGACGCGACAACTGGTTATAAACGGGCGCCTTAGCTGATTCTACCGAATTACAATACACCGGGAATAAGTTTATTTTGAACAAATTCCCAAGCCGTTGCGACGGATGTTTCTATATACCAAGTGGGAAATAGCTATTTTAATAAATGAATTCCGTTGGAAAATGGTAAATCATTTATATATTCCAATTACGAAGTCGCATTGATACTAGCATATTGGGAAGGTCGGTTCGAACGGCGATTGCAAACAACAAGTTTGCTTGTCATTGGTAGCCGTGTAGTATTTTAGTGCTTTTGAATTGAAGCCTATTCTTCAAGACAATAAACCGCCAACAATAGAAAAACAAAAGGACTACCTCATACATACTAATGAGGCTGATGTCTCAAAGTCGTGCGCGCACGTGCGATTTTTTGACGCCCACGATTTTTTTTATTCGCAATTGCATGCGATTTTTTGTGCGTTTATTTCGCGTTTTTCGGGTAACGTATACGCGAGCGGTACTGTATGTGGAAGTTCCTTCCCTCTCCCCCTCCCACTCCCCCCCTCCAAGCAAATTATTGACTATTTTGTAAATGCCCAGCAACAGCTAAAAAGGGGTGGGGTGGGGGGAGGGGGAGAGAGATAATTAGGATCAAATTTAGAAAAAAAGCCAAAAGTAGTAGAGTGTGCCACTCACTGTGGTCAATGATCTTTAGCTGGCTACTTTCACCTTAGTTTACCATAATAGCTATTCAAAAATTGTGTAGGTATTGAAATACCATATAAGAGACTTGTACAGCAGTCACTTTACAGTTTTGGGAGGAATTGGGGGCACACAGCAATTTAGCAATAACAGGTTTAGGCATCGGCGTACGGGAAAAATTTTGTTGGGGGGCTGAACATAATTTGCCCGAATGAAACTTGTTGGTGCATGGTCTTTACCATCACGGCTGCGGTTTTTCCCTGGCATGGGTCCCTGCAGTCGTAGTTTTCAAATGAATAAAGCGGTAAGTTTCTAAAGAAACTGTGGTGCTGCGTCGGTGGGAGAGTATAGCAGGTAATTTAGTGTTAACAACTGGGTTGAAAACGTAAATTAGCCACCGTAAAGGGTAAAAAAGCTGACGTTTCGAGCGTTAGCCCTTCGTCAGAGCGATGATTGACTCAAAGATTGACTTCTCACTCGAGAGCATTTCACTATCCACGCCATAGAAACTTGATATAGTTTGGATGTTGTTGATGCTTGGAGAATAACTGAATACGATTTTGCCCAATGCGCACAAAACCTCCTGGTCATTGCCCTCAAAACTTGATTGAAGTTTACTGACGACTTTGTCAATACTTGTGTAATAAACTGTGATACGTAAGTGGTCTTTTGCCGTCTGTTGTGAGCTGTCGTTCGCTGCAGCAGGTGTCTCACCAGTAAGGTCCTGAAGTCGGCGTGATGGTCTGGTTCAAGGCACCTTGGCATCTCTGAAAGTAAATTTCGTACCTCGATTCCTATCTTGATTTTTTGCGCTATAACATCAGCATGTGACCATATCTGAGTGAAGCTCTCTTCATTGCGATAATTGCTCAGTGTCTTAACGACAGTATCAGCAGTCTTCTTGGCAGTGATGACGTTCATCTGTTCTCACTGAAGATATCTACTCAAATTATCAGTGTTGGTTAAGATGAGCGTGGAGAAGCGAATTACTTTCGTTGTGGGTCTAGGGATCGCGATCCTTTGATAAAGTGAGCAGGGCTTCCATTATCCTCGGCACTTGCTCTAGCACAGCCGTCACCGCCGCCCAGCGACAGGACCATCTAGTGGTACTCAAAGATTTTAATGTAAGCGCAACATCCTCTTCATGAACTTCAATGACCTTGAATAACGCATGGCGCTTGGTACTCCCGTGTAAGAAATTGTAAAGACTCTGGATAGTACCCAAGGGCATTATGGAGAGTTTCAATTTCAGTCATGGTGTCCTTAAGAGCCAAATTTAAAAGATGACCATAACAATGTACATATATTTCGAGAGGTGAACATTCCTTCATACGCATAGCAAGGCCCTTGCGAATCCCACTCATGTTCGCAGCGCCATCAAAGCATTCGGCAATAATGTTTTCCAACCTTAAATCCAGCTTATTTATGGCTGTTTTTGCAAGGTCGTACAGAACTTCCCCCTCTGTAGAAGCAGTGGCAAAGAAACCAACAAAATTTTCTTTTGTCTCACCATCAATAACATACCTGAGGCACAAGGATACCTCTTCGGTTCTACTGTTGTCTGAAGTTTCATCCATGATGATTCCAAAGTAACCACTCTTCCTTACTTCTGTCGTGATTCTCTCAAGCATAAGGTCTGACACTATTTCAAGTAGCTCATTTTGGATGGTGGGTGATATCCACTGAGCATGCAACTGGAGCTGCACCTGGAGTTTTGACTGCAGGCATGGCAAGTCTTTGCATCGTAAATGGAGTAATTCGAGAAAGTTTCTTCTGTTTATATCTGACACTTCCAAGATATCGTTTTGACTTTCTTCATGTCCTCTAACAGAAATATTTTGCATAGCAGTGAAAATCAAGCACTTGATTATCACTTGTTAAATTTGACTTGCTCTTTATGTGCATTACTTAGTTGCTGCAGAACACTGCTATTCTTTCTTTCCATTGCTTTGAACTGCAGCCACTTAGTCATGCAACTTACATAATTCTCACTTTGGCTGTGTTTTGTTAACTTTAATGGCTTCTTCCAATTCTTGAAGACAAAAGATGCATCTTTTCCAAACTCTATGCAAGCAAAACATACACACACGTCTTTTTCGACATTGTAACTAAGCCATGGATACTTTTTATACCAGTCAGGCTGGAATCGTCTAGTGAAAGACTCACTGCTAAACTTGGTGCCCAGATATTTGAGTAAAACAGGTTGTTTCGGTACCATTGTCGTCAACGTAGGTGATGTGGAGGACTCTGGCTCTAGTTCAGCGATCCCTCCAAGATCTGATTGAATGCCTTTATCTATTGGGGTACTGGGCTCGCCAGGTTCCTGGACATCTCTCTTTGACTCATCAAGCTTATGTGAATCTTGGGTGATTGATTCAGGATCTGGCTGGATATTTGCAACAGATTCGTATGTTGATGAAATAGTACGTTGTTCACTCTCTGGGCTACATCCAACAAGCAGTGCCTCCTGTGTCTGACCTGGAGATTCGACTGAATTGATTCAACTGGATAGAGAAGAAACCACATAATTTCAGCTGTGACGATTCTACCACTGGCAGACATTTCACTTTTCAGCCGCTGTGAACACTTCAGAAATGAGCTTCTACATAGTCGGAGTCGAATTCTTTCTGGCATTCTTCACATTTCACACGGTATCGATATGATCTTTTATGAGACTTCGACAAAGACATACTTCAATCCACCAGATTACGTGCACATGCACCCCCCCAGCCCCCCCGTATGCTGATGGGTTTAGGCATGTGATTCAATCCCACATAAAAACTTTTTTAATTAAAGGTTCTTGCAAGCTTTACAAAAATTAATGCCTGAGAGTTCAAATGGAATAGTTCCTAGTCTTGCATGTCATCTTACTAAACAACGTGGTGTCCCTTAGAATGCGGTTGCCAACCAAGTGAAATCTAAGGAAATTTATTGAAGATTTTTCTTTGACAGTTCCATCATCAGAAACCAGCAGCAGATGAAATAGCTTATATCAACTAGCATTAAGAAATATATACATAAAATAAATGGCAAATATTATTTCCTCTGTCACTTAATTACCAGGAAGGTGCAAGGTTGGCTAAGAAGGAAGGCAAGATTCTGAAATCTGGTTTGCAGCCTGTGAAAATTTTTTGGAAGCAGCAAGGTCGCAAAAGGACAACATCAGGTACATTTACATGTACAACTTGTGTCATTTCTTTTACAACATTCTAATTATTTCTAACATCCTCACCCTGATGGAGCAGAATATTAGATCCCACCTTGAATTTCTTTTACAGTACGGATTATGAGGCTTACACTGTATGACAATATGGCTATTTGTACAAGTTTAAATGTCTCTAAGAACAATGTGTGAAATTTCTCTAGGTAACTGTTATAGGAGAATGATAGAGCCCTGGTTGTCATCAGGAACTTGTAGGGGGTAGAAATCTGCTGGCTGTTAGACCATTTTGCTCTGGCTTCTTTCTGAATTGTGATCAGTGACAGAATATGAAAATTTTTTAGGGTGAAAAGTAGGTTTAGAACCAGCCACTATCTGTAGTGTTCCAGTTCCTCAGAAAAAGTTATATGAAGCATGGCTCTGATATAATGTGTGGATTTGTGGACATTGCTTACACATTTTTAAAAAAATGTACATAGTGTAAAGCTAATAAATAGGTATGTTTTTAATAATGACATTGTTAATGATTTTATTACAAGATATTGATTAGATATAATATATCTGTAAATTTTATTAATTAACAGAGAGTGAGCAGCCTTCCAGTCCAGAGAAAATAAAGAAGATTTCTGCTCAGGTATTGTGTGGTAAACAAGTTTGGGTGCTTACAGTAGCTGTCATTTGTAGTAGTAATGTTTTTTGTGTACATGAGGAGTCAACATCATTGATGAACTGTGGCCGGGAGTAGTGAATCTGTTATTTCTATCACCCAGACTGCACCTTCAGAAAAACAAACCCAGCAGAGGATAAAGATGTCACAAGCTTTGAAGGATATTCAAGAATGTATGTAGTATCTAAAGTGAAACTGTATCAACTCTGTATGTCTACATGCAATTTATAGTACTGCAAGACTCAGATAAAGATGATCAGGTTATATTGACAAGCTGTCTTGTCAATTTCTTATTGACCAATCACAAAGAAATTCAATGCAGGCATACAAACCCCTAACTACTGTTTCCTGTTGCTGTTGTTATTGGGGTCTCTCATGTCAGATTAGGTTGTCCACGAATATTTGTGCTTATTTCTACAAACATTACGCTATTGACATTGTGGATCCTAGCAGTATGCAGGATGCATGTCATATGAACTTCGTAATAGACTTCGCTCACTGTGGAGTCTCTGTGGCTCAGTGGTAGAGTATGGGAGCATGGTGTGGGGTACCAATCCTTATAGGGACTCACAATTTTTTCTTTGTCCCATGGTTGTGACAGGACAAAAAAATCTTTTGTTCTCTCCTTTAATATTTGTGCTGTTCAAGATTTCCTGAGTTAAACAGATAAGTTTGAAAAATATTGTTACAGCACACTGAACTTCTTCTGATTAACCAAGAGCTTGATGTTTCACAGATTTGAAGTCAGTTCCAGCAAGTGAAAGTGCTGGGGATAAACTTCAAGTTTTGGAGGGAATTGACAAAAAGCTAAGATTAGGTATGAGCAGTAAAAGCTGCCTATATTGTCTTTGACTTGACATGTAACAGTCTAATGGGAATGTTAAATGGCATAATTGTGTCTGATTTGTGAACAGTGTAAAGCCAAGGTCAGGCATTCAATCAATGAGGCAGTCAGTTAGTTAGCTGTTTAGTCAGTCTGTCACTCAGTCTGTCAGTCAGTTGGTCAAACAGCTGTTTGTTAGTTGTTTAGAAAGTCAGACAGTCGGTTGGTTAGTCAGTCAATCAGTTACAATGTAGTAAGTCAGTTGTTTCTTAATTCAGTCAGTCAGTTAATCATTGTGATATCTACACTGTAATCAATTTACTGATTGATCGATCAAGCAATCTGTCAATCAATCAATCTGTCAATCAACTTCATCATCAATATCAGCTAAGTTTGTTTAATTTCCCTTCAACAATTTATCTCAGTGTTTGAAAGGTCATCTGACATAAGTTCTGCTAAAGCTGTCATTGGAACTTGCAAAGACATGTGTCCTGAGAAGGTAAACCTTTAGTATACTGTACTCTGCTCTCAAATATACAAAGCTTGAGCCTGAGCCACATATATTGCGTTAACCCTTTAACTCTCAGATCCAATTTGTAATTCTCCTTACTGTCAACTACACAATTCTTATAATGTTAGTTCAGAGAATTTAGTATTGGACCAACTAATTATCCCCAAATTGATATTTTTCTTTATTCTCATCACTTTTCTTCTTGATATTGAATTGATATTGTAAGGAGAAATTCTGTCTTGGTCATTAATGGGAGTTAAAGGGTTAAGAAAAATGAAATGTTTGTTGTTTGTACAAGTTCTTTTCAACCTGACAGTTAATTTTGTATGCTGTAGGAAAGGTACATGCGAGAGCATCAAAGAAGACTGAGTGTGTTTGAGGTTGTGTCTGGGACAGGCAGCTTTGTAAGTACATCTTCACTGTAATTGGTTAATGTTTGTCATTTCCAAAGAAGCTGTACCACAAATGCAGTTGGACCTATATTAAGCAGCAATGAATTAAGCAGTCATCCTGTATAAAGCAGTCAGTCCTCAAAGTCCCAAATTTGTTTCCCCATAATCATTGTTATTTTCACCACTGTTAAGCCATCCCCCCCATTATGCAGTGGTGGTCACCTTTGACTAAGCCTCAACAGCCTGTTTCTATTCTCTTCCTCCTTTAGTGATTGGTCACTTAACCTTTTAAATCCTAAGAGTGACTAGCATCTAATTTCTCCCCACAATATCAGCCCTGAATCACACATTAAGGTCATGAGAATATAGGAAATGATCACCAACAAAACAAGCTCTTGATTGGTAAACAAATTCTCCTTGTCAGCACCCTAGGAAATGTATAAAGAGCAGTATGGAGAATATGCATACTGATTTTCAGGTATAAAAGGTTAAAGTGGAACTACTTAAATACACCTAAGAATATCAATAATCTTTCATAAGTGAAATGTAATCCATTTTTCTCTCCAGTAGTTAATGTACATTAGTTTTTGTACGTTAAGCGGTCAATTATGGCATGAAATGGCATTTGTATCATTTTATGTATCACCCCTGTTGTGTAGGACTTGTAATGAGCAGTCACCCTGTCACCCCCTGTGGGTGACCACTTAATACAGGTTTGACAGTATTTGGTTATGTTTGTTGTTTATAAAGAGGCTGTACCACAAATATCTCTTTAAACCACCTTGACCTTTTGACCCCTAAAAAGGACTAACATGTAATTTCTCCTTATAATATCATCCTCTGAATCAAACATTAATGCAGGGCGTGAAATTAAATTTTTCTTCTGATAGCTGCTTGGCTCCTAAATTCTTCAAAGTGGTAGCCAATTCAAAAAAAGTTGGTCGCCATTTTCAAAGACAAACAAAATCTTTCTTTACGCTGTCAGCGTTCTAGATAGACCCTCCAAAATTAAGTTAGGGAAAAGATCTTTAACGTGCTACAAAGTGGACACTAGGATGTATGATATACAACGTTCAGGCTCATCTAAATCCAAGATGGCGTCTAGTTATCGATCGAGATGCATGTGCTACGTTTTGGAAACAAACTTAACGAGGAAGTTTGCCGCGGATTTATCTTTGCAAATTTATTTAATTCACTATATCTCTTAGTAAGGTTATGATGAAACGTTGTAGTCGCCAATTTGGCGACTAACTTTCAGGATTTGGTCGCCAAAGTGAAAAATTTAATCGCATTGGCGCCTGTATTAGGCGCAATTTCACGCCCTGTAATGTCATGAGAATCAAGGAAATGATCACCAACTAAAGAAGCTCTTGATTGTTAGACAAATTCTCCTTTTTAGCACCTCAGGAAATGTAGAGAGGACAGCATAGAGAATTTGAATACTGATGTTAGGGTTTAAAAAGGGGTTTAAAATATCTTTTGGAAAGGATAAATAACTCACTTTCTACATATTTTATTTAAAAATTTCTAATTAAAATGTGTTGAATAGTTATCCTTAAATCAGTTATTTCAGATCTTTCTGTATTAAAGAGAAGATGATTCACCAATTTTAATAAATTTTTTTACTTGTGAGAGTTGTAAAGATTTTTACTGGAAAAAAAAAAAGAGTTCTGAGAGATTTTCCAAGTATTGTTTAAGAAGCCACAAATGATTGTTGCAGGTTTAATATTTGTTCAGTGATGGCTCGATCATTAACCCAAATTCTCCATACTGTTCTCTAAACATTTCTTATGGGACTTGCAAGGAGAATTTGCCTAACAATCACGAGAATTTTGAGCTTATGATCATTTCCTTTATTCCCATGACCATACTCTTTGATTTAGGGGTGATGCCATTGGGAGAAATTAGATGCTTGGGGTCAAATTGTTTAGTAAAGAAAAAACAAAACATCCTGTCTGGCATACATGTAGGTTTGTGTGGAAGAATTTTCATGTAGGTTGTGTTCTTACTACAGAACCATGAAGCTCTCACAGCTGACGGCCATAGCTTAGGAGACACTCTAAATCTTTCCCCCCCCCCCGCCCCATCTCCACCCCTCCCCTTATTTTTGACTGTCAACCGCCCTCTTGGTACAAATTTCTTTCTCTCCCCAGCCTTCCACTTCCATTAAAATCAAAGATGGCGGCCATAATTTTTGTTAAGAAAATACTGAGCACTCGCTCGCCAAAATTATGCCAGCTCTGCAGGTCAACTCATCAGTAGATCACAAGTTTTGAGTCTAGTTACGATGCTCATAATTTCGTTTTTATTCTGCGTATGCCTGCATGTGTCACCAATGGAAACTTGTCTTTGTGACTGACAAATTGCTTGTCACTATCAACCTTGTTGCACCCCAAAGGATGAAAATCCTCAAGTCAATCACACCCGTGCAGTCAAGGAATATGACAGATCTGCCGCTGATAAGGTAAAGGGTATCTTTCATTCCTCTTTTTCGTGCATCTGTTTGTTATGCAAATGCACTCTGTAGAGAAGTATCACTTACTCACAATAATTGATTACTTGCTTGCTGCGTTATTCACCCTTTAACTCACAGAAGTGATTAACATGTAACTTCTCCCTGTAATATCCATACATTATTCAGCAAACAGGTAATGAGAATACTCAAAATCATCAGGTACAAGATATTAACCTTGATTATTGAACACCAAATTCTCCTAACCAATTTTCAAGGTAATGTGTAGCAGCTAGAGGGGAGAATTAACAATCAGATCTTGGGAGTTAAAGGGTTAAGTGTTGGGCACGGTGAAATTACTAGCCGTCAGTGCATGCCATTTCCTTTTAATTTGTGATGACATAATTATTCACCTTTTTTTTTTTGGGGGGGGGGGGGGGTCGGTTTTTTTTTTTTGCAAGGTCCAGCCAATTAATGATCTAAATCTTGATTTTGTTTTTTTAGCATTGTCAAGAGGTTTTGAAGCTAAAAATGAAACACATTATTTTTTGCCTTAAACGACTCACATGAAAAATAAATTTTATTGAAGTACTGTACTGCTGAAATTTAAGTTAATATCCTCTTTCGAGAATTGAGCCTCTAGAAACTCAAATCAAATAATTTCTCGAGGAACGGACTCATTCGCGAAGTTTCAAGGATCGAGATTCGAGGGACTGTCAACTTAGATTTAAGCGGTAACTGTACAATATTCCACAACCGCGGCTTGCATGGAAGTAAGTCCTCGTTTACATAACCGTTTCTTCGTGTTTAGGAAGAGCCATTGCCCCATGAGCTCCGCCCTGTGCCAGTCCTCAGGATGACCATGGATTATCTGGCCACAAACATCATGGATCTGTGTGAAGGAAGGGAAGGAGAGTGGTTTGATTTTCTCTGGAACAGAACCAGGGGAATCAGGAAGGTATGTACAGGTCACTAACTGTACAAAGGAGCCACTCCAGGCCTGTATTAAAACGATAGAATTTATGATCACGGGCTTAAGTATGTTTTTAGGCGCGACTCAAAGTCATTTAAGCCCCAGTTGGTAAAATAACTCTCTGGATGGCAAAAAACATATTTACGCCCGAGAACATAAAAGGAATTGCTATTACTATCACTTTGGAGGGCATGGAGATGATAAAAACTGAAAAAAATGACAACGAAACAGTCTGAACAATCACCCGAGCGTACAAGCGGGCTAACAATTATTAAAAATACGTATTTGTAAAATACAAAGTGATGATAAGATATTCTTTGTGAGGGTGTAAGTCTATCGTAGTCTTGGATGCAAGCGCGAAGTTTTGGATGCACGCGCGAAGTTTTGGATGCACGCACGTAGTCTTGGATGCACGCGCGAAGTTTTGGATGCACGTGCGTAGTTTTGGATGCACGCGCGTAATTTTGGATGCACGCGTAGTTTTGAATGCACGCGCGAAGTTTTGGATGCACACGCGAAGTTTTGGATGCACGCGCGTAGTTTTGGATGGACGTGCAAAGTTTTGGATGCACGCGCGTAGTTTGGGATGCACGCGCGTAGTTTTGGGTGCACGCGCGTTGTTTTGGATGCACGCGCGAAGTTTGGGGAGCGGAATAGAGTTATTACTGGGCTCGTGACGCAATAGACAGCAGGTTTACATGTAGCTTTTTGACTGTTTTATAAACTTTGCATGTTCATCCTTATTTCGATATGAGGTTGAGTCAAGTCTCAACTGAATGAACATAATCTTCATGTAGAGTGAGTTTTTGCTCTGATATTTCTGTGTGCGCGTCCTGTCGGTTCTCTGAAGTGAACAGATTTCAAAGACGAACAGATTAGGATCAAGGACGAATTCACATGTACAATACGAGGATAATTTAGCGCCAAATGAGGGCTGTTATGTGCATCTTACTTCTGATTTCTTTGACAACATGTGTAACGAAACGTTTACGACTAATTTACCGCCAATGATATTCAACTTTACTGTGGACATTCTTTGTTATCTTCAGGATGATAGAAGAATTTTAAAAAAAATCCGATTATTTTAGCGTTTCCTGTTGCAATCTAAAGACTGATGTGATTGAATTATCAAAAGTTAAGCAAGCATGGTGGTTGTTTGTAAAATTGTACCGTTTATTTTCATTCCTCTTTTGTTAGATATTATCGTAACAGCACTTTATGTGACCTTCAATGTCAGCGATCTTGTAGAGAAACAGCTGGTGCACGGACG